AAAATCTGTGAGACTCTTATCTCCAATAAACCACTAGAAAATTGGAAATGGCACTGTGGCTCAAGCAGTAGAGCCTTGCATGCATGAGGCCCTAGGTTCGATTCTTCAGCACCACATAAGCAGAAAAAGCTGGAAGTTGTGCTGTGGCTCAAGTGGTAGAGTGCTAGTCTTGAGCTCAAGAGCTGAGGGACAGCGCCCAGGCCCAGAGTTCAGGCCTCACCACCGACAAAAAAAAAAAAAAAAGAAAAAGAAAAAGTTTACTAATAATGTAGGAATTAACTTTATCTTAAGTGAGTATCACAATTCAACATACACTATGTAACTGTAATGATTATTATTGTATAGACTTAATGCTAAGGCGATAGAGCAAGGAACAACATAAGCTTTACATCTCAAGTCTCCTTAATTCCTAATTACCTACTTTGGCTATTCTATAGGATGCTACTAATAGGTACTCCCTCTTTTTTTTTTTTGTTGGTCATGGGTCTTGAACTCTGGGCCTGGGCATTGTCCCTGTGCTCTTAATAGGTACTCCCTCTTTTTTTTTTTGTTGGTCATGGGTCTTGAACTCTGGGTCTGGGCATTGTCCCTGTGCTCTTAAACTCAATAGCACTCTACCACTTGACCTACAGTGCCACTTCCGGTTTTCTGGTGGTTAATTGGAGATAAGAGTCTCTCAGACATTCCTGCCCAGGCTGGCTTTGAATCATAATCCTGACATTCAGCTTCCTGAGTAGCTAGGATTACAGGTATGAGCCACTGGCACCTGGCTTCTCTCTTGATTTTACATTGAAAGTTTTCTTACATCTCTGTCCATGAGTATGAAACTAAGCATGTGGCTTCCAGTTACAACTTCCAAAAGTAAATGTTCCCTAAAGAGATGACAATGACGGGCTGGGATGTAGCTCAGTGGCAAAGCGCTTGCCTAGCAAATGCAACGTCCTGGGTTCCATCCCCAGTACCAAAAAAGAAAAGACAAAAAAAAATACAGTTAAAGAGATGACAATGAATCCACTGTGCAAATATTTTAAGTTCCTGTTATTGTTCTAAGGAGGGGAAAAACCCTTTCACTTTTTATTCATCATACTTCAATTTGAAACTTGCTATTATTTGTTATAAAAACCTCCTACACTCACAAAATTCTCATTCAGACACCACCAACAATTTACAATTATCAGCTTAAACAACAACAACAACACTAAAAAAACCTACTCCTAGCTACTCAGGAGGCTAAGGTCTAAGGGTTGCATTTCAAAGTCTGCCCAGGGAAAGAAAGTTGATGAGACAAAAAGCTGGATGTGGAGCTATGTTCCAGTGGTAGAGTGCCAGCCTTGAGAGAAAAAGCTGAAGGACAGAACCCAGTGCCAGAGTTCAAGCTCCAATACTGCCCCAGCTCTAAAACACACACACATACACACAATCAACAAACTATAAAGAAGTATATTCCATGGGTCTTGGAGGTTGAGATCCGAGGATTGTGATCTAAAGCCCAGACAGACTCTTATCTCCCACTTTGTGAAAAAGCAGAAATAAAGCTGTGGCTCAAGTGGTAGAAGGCTTGCTTGCCTTGAGCAAAAAAGCTCAAGAACACTGCTCAGACCCTGAGTTCAAGTCCTAGGACTTGCACAAAAAAAGGAAAACTCACTATAGCCATTTTCATTTGTATTCTGGCATGTGGCATGTCATATCATAATCAAAGAAAAACATTTGGCTTATTAACACTTGAGTCACATGAGTACAGGAGAGCCAAGTGCTGCTGGCTCATGCCTATAATCCTAGCTACTCAGAAGGTTGAGGGTCACCAGAGGATGGTGATTCCAAACTAGTCTAGGCAGAAAAGACTCTCTCTCTAAAATAATCAACAGAAAGCAGAGCTGGAGGCCTGGATTAATTAGTAGGGCCAATCTATCTAAGCAAAACCCTGAGGCCTAGAGTTCAAATATCTATACTATCAAAAAGAAAAGAAAAAAGTAAACAGGGACTTCCCCCACTCGCCATTCTTCTGTTTGTTTATATATATAAGGCTGGATCTAGCAATTTAACCTTCAGTGGCCTTGAACTCACCCAATAGCCCAACACGGCCTTAAATTTACTATTCTAAGCCTCTGGAGTATCAGTATTTTAGTTGTAAACCACCACACCCAGCTTTCTTTCTTTTTTTTTTTTTAACCTTTTCAGATCCTATTTAGAAAGCTAGTTGCCAGCTACATACAATTAAGCTAAACAAATATACCTAATAAGTTTTTTTTGCTACTTTAGTAAATTAACAGTACATATAAACTACAAATTAAAATATTAAAAATGTAAAGTAGAAAAGCAATTTTATAGTACATATTTCAGCACTAATCTTTCTAATAATTATTCAGCAACTAATAACAAAATAAAGAGCTAATTGCAGCAGCAAAGGGCTATCATCAACCCAATGTTCAGGGTGTGTGTGTGTATGTGTATGTGTGTGTGTGTGTGTGTGTGTCAGGGTGTGTGTGTGTCATCAACCCAATGTTCAGGTTGTGTGTGTGTGTGTGTGTGTGTGTGTGTGTCAGATGTAGGGCTTGAACTATTCAGCTCAAGGCAAGTACTCTACCACTAGAGCCACAGCACCACTTCCGGCTTTCCGGTGGTTAATGGGAGAAGAGTCTCCCGGACTTTCCAGGCCCAGCAGGCACTGAACCAGGATCCTCAGATCTCAGCCTCCTTAGTAGTTAGGGTTATAGGCGTTAGCCGGCTCCAATGTTCAGTTTTGAGGATTCCCTTTTGATTCCTCTTAACTTCCAAATTTTTATTTAGTAACTTTAATGACATTCTGGACGTTCACATTATTTACTAAATATGAAACTACTATAAATTAACTTATTGGGCTCACTGCATTAGGGCAATAGTGTCCTATTAAAGCACCAAGTCATTTTTTTGCTACAATACTTTGAGATTAAGTTACATATGAAAGTGACCATTCTTTGATTTTCTCCACTCATCAGCAACTTAATACTGTAGCTCTAAATATAAACTTCCTCCAAATGCACCCTATCTTGATTATCATTGTGGCTAATTTCAAGTATTTTCCTCATAAGCATAAAAAGAAATCAAAGAATAGAATATACTGAAGAACCAGCAGGTAAGATTTTCATGCCCAGTTGCCTGAAACTTCTGTCTCACGCTTTGGTTTTTGTCTTAAGCACTTACATCCTTTAAATGGAGATGAAGAAAAACACCCAGTGAGACTGATACACTCGAGTGATCCCAGGTCAGCCTGATTCTCTGCCAGAACAGGCCAGTTAACATCTACTCTTGTGTAAGTTTCTTTCTCCCTTATCCACTTCCTGCACGTTCTTATAGTATTGTAATTCATTCGTTACAATACTTGACTTCCCAAAGAAATTCAGTCCCAACTAGATTATTAGCGTCTTCTTTTCCGACTTTCTGTCGGAACTTTCCTCAATCCCAAAACTATAAATCTCCCCGTCAAGGGAGAAAAAAAAAGTTCCTAAGAAGCAAACAGACCGTCGTGGGTTTCCTGGAGTTTCTCTAGACTTTTGTCCCAATCTCAAAGAATAGAGACATCTAAGAGTTTCCAGAAAACAAAGAGCCACCAAAGTACAGACTAAACGGGAAAGAAGAAGGAAGTATCAGAAACAATACCCCCAAACCCAGCCCAGGACCGAAAACCCACGGTCGCCTCTTATCAATCCAATCCCCCCTCCCCCACTTCTCCCTATCAATGAATGCCTCAAAAACTCGGGAGAAATGGCCTGCGAACAACAAATGCTTCCTGAGGAAGGCAGCAGGAAGAAAAAAGCAGGACTCTGGCTGTTTTGGGGCCGTGATGCTTTTTCGCCGGGTGGAAGGAGGCTAGCCAAGGGTTGTGTAAAGAATGGAAAGCTGAGTGGTATGGGGGGAGGGGGGAATTAGGGCGCTAGAGCTAATCCCCCTCCGGGGTCCGCCGGTGGGAAGGGGCAATAGGTGAGCCCCAAAGAACGGCTTGCTCTGGGTTTTCGGGTCGCGGGAGAAGAGAAAGAGCTGGCAAGCCTCCCCGGTGGTGGGTGGCGGTGCCCGGCGAGGGAGGTGGCTCGGAGCGGAGCGACTGTTTCGAGGGGGGCGGGGGGAGTGGGACTGGCCTTTTCCTCCCTCTTCACCCCCTAGCCCCCCTCCCCTCCCCGAGCTCACACCTCAAACCTGCTCTTGGTCACTCCGTTCACGTCCCTCCTCATGGGGCCGGCGGGTGCGGCCCGGGCAGGGCGCTGCGGCGTGCGGAGTGCAAAGCTAAGGGGCCCAGGGCAGGCCCAGGAGTTCCGGGACGGGAAGGCGGTGGCGACTGGGCAAGGTCAGGACCGTCGGACAGAAAGAAGAGGTCCCTGGAGTCCAGCGAGGCCTCCACTACCTTCCGCGGCAACCGCGGCCGCGACGACTGCTTGTCGCTAGCTCAGCTCTCTCCTCAGCCTCAACTTCAACCCAAAACAAAAACACTCCCCACCTGCCAGCAACGCCGCTTCTCATTGGGCAGAGCCGCCCGGGCCTCGGAACGCCGGGGGAGGGGAGGAGCGCGCGGCGGCGCTGGCGGCGCGAGCCCACCCCTCCCCCACCGAGCGCAGCCCCGGACGGTGCAGCCCCGCGCCGCGCGCCCGCGAGCTGCCCCGGCGCCGGGCGGCCGCGGGCAGTGTCCTCCCGCCTTTGAGGCAGGCGAGCCCACCGGGAGAAGGCGAGGCAGGGAAGTGCCCAAGTGTCTGTGTGTGTTTGTGGAGGGGGGCTGTGGGCAGGATACGAGTGCGCGCGTGCTCGCCGACTGGCAAGGCAGATGGAAGCCGGGGGTCAACGCACGGGCACGGAGCCCCCCTCCCGGTCCCCCTCTCCGCCTCTCCGAGGGCAAACAGGCACGCACCAACCGACGCAGAAACCTTGAGCTTTCTGCTTAGTCCCCCAACCCCTAGTCTTGTCACTTCTTCCCAGAAGCCTGGACTAGCAGATACATCTTCCTGGCCACCCGACTCCCTTCCCCTATCACTCACTGTCGCCTTGAACCCAAAATGCAGCAGGCGGTCCCTGCTCGGAGCCATTTTCCTCTTTCTGGATGTCTCTTGGTTGGGGTAGTGCTGCCGCCGCCGCCGCCGCCGCTGCTGCTGCCGTGGCTGCCGTGGCTGCTGCCGCCGCCGCCGCCGCCGCCTCCCCCGCCCCGTTGGATTGCATTACCGGGTGCTGCAGGGAGGCCTAGGAGGCCACTGCAGGGTGGGTGTCTCCCTGTGCATGGCTGGGAAGGCGGGGGCTAATTATGCCTGAGGGACTGGCTGAGCACCCTACTCTGCTCTAGGGGTGGCGGCTAGGCCACACCTTGGGCCTCCGGGTTAGGGGGTGCAGTGCCAAAGCCAGCAATCACATTTCTTCTGCTGGGGGAGGGGCGCGAGTCAGGGGATGGGGGTGGGAGAGGCAGAAGGGCCTTTGGCTTCCCCGCCCCCTCCGCCGCCTCTGGCACCCAATGGGCTGTAGTATCTGCCTGCCCTCCAATCAGAGCGCTCTATGGTGAGAGCCTGAGCCTGACGCCACTTTGGCGGGAGAAACAAGCATGTACGAGGGAGTAGGCGGGGGCATTTGACCAGTGGAAACTAATACTTTGTTGGGATTTGGACTCCTTGGATGGAATCTGGTCTGTCACCATACTATTATACTTTAACAACTCTAGCCTTCAAGGTCCCAAATTTATGAGCGAATTTCCACAACTTAATGAGAATTGTCCCTTCAACGAGACACTATGTTTCAAACATGAAATACTAGAAACCCTTATAAATTCTCTGTCCTGGAAGAAGCAGCAGTACTGCTTCTAATTGTATGCTCCCAAAGCAGTTGAGTGTTTGACTTCACACCCCTTTTAATTACTAGTTTTAGTAACTGGAGTGTTATGAATCCGATTAAGAAATGACCATTAGAGCCAGGTGTTCTCTCTCAACTGTAATACTACTCAGAAGGCTGGGATCTGAGGATCGCGGTTCAAAGCCAATCCACGCAAAGAAATTCATGAGACTTTTTAATGAACTTCCAAAAAGCCAAAAGTGGAGCTATAGTTCAAGTAGTTGAGTGCTAGCCTGGCACAAAAAAGCAGAGGCAGAGCCAAAGACCAGCACAAGACCAAAAAAAAAAAAAAAGCCCACTTACAAGCGCTCCAGACCTGTAATAGGCATTTTTAGCTGGCCTGCTGCCCAAAAGCAGCAAGTGCAGTAGACCTGTAAAAACAGGTGTTTTAGCTGGCTTATTACTTTGAAAACTTATCTTTTATATCCTATGAAAAATCTTCCTAAGCATGGAGTTTAGTTTCAGAAAATTTACTTCTTGCCAGGCCTCATGCCTGTAATCCTAGCTACTCAGGAGGCTGAGATATGAGGATCAAGTTCCAAAGCCACCTCAGGCAGAAAAGTCCATGAGAATCTGTCTCCAATGAAGTGGAAAAAAAAAAAAAAAAAAAGCTAGTTGTGGAGCTGCTGCTCAAGTGGTAGCATGCTAGCTTTGAGCAAAAATGCTCAGGAACAGCACCCAGGCTTTGAGTTCAAGCCCCAGGACCTGCAAAGCAAGAGGAAGGAAAGGAAAGGAAGGAAGGCAGGAAGGCAGAAAGGCAGAAAGGAAGGAAGGAAAGAAGGAAGGAAAGGCAGGCAGGGAGATGAAGTTCAAAAGGGAGAGGGAGAGAGGGAGACAAAAAAGAAAACTCATTTCTCAATTCCATATTATATTACTATATTCTCTGATCCCAAGTACTCTCTCTAGCCTTCAAATTTAGTCTTACCTAAAGTAAGTACACAAGGTATAAAAATTGGCACACTAAGTCAAATGTAATGAAAACAATCTTCACAGGTCTTTTGTAGACTCATTTAGTGTGATACTAAGGGGAGTTAATTTAAAAAAAAAACTTTGATTTCTGAAAAGCTGAACAAATGAAAAGTATTCACAGGTCAAAATTTCATCACACATAGTAGCCATATTAATTTTATCAAAGAAATTTATTTGCATGTAAATAAACACTTTTTAATGTTTCAGGAAAAAATTCCCACAGATTTTGTCTACTTTCAAAAAATGAAAACAGAAAACCCAAAATATTTACAGAACTGCCGTACACACAATCAAATTTGATTCCTTTTTAGAAAAGACCCTCCCCTCTGCTCCTGATGTGCATTTTAAACGCAGAATTTAAAGCTCACCATTTAGTTGAGCATTAATTTCTAAACTAGCTTCTGAGATACGAAACACCTGCTGCTCCTCCAAAACAAACTCAAAGATAGAAACACGGAGCAGAGATAGAAATGAAAGGGGGAAAATAAGATTGCCAAGGGATTATGAATGTTTCCTAAACTGACATCTGCTGTGATTCAAGTGTGTGGATACTGTATGAATCACTGGCTCCCTGAAAGGGTTCTTCAGAAAGTTCATGATATGGCTGCACTAGATTTTCAGACCTTGGCCTGGAGAAGGAAAATCCTTTTCAAGAGTCATCAACCTCTTTTTTTTTTTGGCAACAATTTTATCCAGTTTCAGCCCTTCCCACCCTGAAAACACTGTTTTAAGACACACTGAATTTGAATCTGAAATCTTCATATACATCAGAACAGATTTTGACGAAGAATCCCCAATATGAAGCCAAAAGACAGAATAATCAGGTCAAACTAATATATAAGACACCAGCAGCAAAAGATAGGTAGAAGTTGACTTCATATCCTTGTTGTCTTTTGAAACAGGAGAGTACACCTAGATAGGAGGGAGGTTCCCAGGCTTGGTTTATTCTGCCTCTTCTCCTCCACCCTGTGGAGAAATGCAGTGCTCCCTGGTTCTCAGGCAGGGTGAAACAGTTTAGCCCCAGCTCCCTGTTAAGCAAATGCAGATGTTGGGTCAGTGTGTGGGGTGTGCCCATCAACATTTCAGGGGCTTATCCTTCATCCAGATCCTATCTTGGGATTCTCTGATCTGGTATGAAGACAGAAAGAAGACAGAAAGCTTCCCAGTTTACTCATTCTGGTATTTGTTGGCTCTGCTTGGAGGAGCTGAACCCCTGATACTATGCAGTATGTTTTCTACAAGCTTTTCCCCACCCAGAACTTAAAAACCATGTAACTTTTTAGTTTTCCTGCAGAAACAAATGGGACAGGATTCAAAACTAGATACTTGTGAGAAATCCAACTCAGTTATGTTCTGAGACTGCTACTGTATAAGCATCACAAGATAAAGCACCTTGCCCATGTCCTCCTTAGTGTCACCCAAGATATTTGACTGATACAGTAACTGATAACATGTTCCACTTTGCAACATTTCATTTCCGACTTATTACCTTGGGACATAAAAGTAGCAGAGCTGATGACCAAGAAAGGAACACTGGAGGAAATGAGACAGTTGGGAAAGAAAGCCAAAGTGGATTTTCCAATTCTATGCTAACTCCAACCTGTAGAAATGGTTGAATATAATCTTCTTCCACATCTGATGAAGTCATTCCACTTATGACACACACACACACACATGAATCATCTGGCTTTTTTTTGTTTGTTTCTAATCCGGAAGAGTTGTGCTGGGGATTATGCCCCACCCCGCAGATAGAGATCCTGAATGGAATCATCAGGAATGGCACAGTGCAGGTGTCAAAATCAAAGTAAGGCCGCAGAATTTTGAGAGGACCCTCCAAATACTGAGAACTTCTGTTGTACTCAAATGGTCTCCTGGATTTCTATATTTATGAGAAGGGCTTCTTATTGATGTCCCCCAGAATCCAGAGTCAGACCTGTTTTCCAAAAAGGTCCAATTGTATTGCTACACAGTAGCAAGGGTTTATCTTCATGCTCACAAGCATTCCAGGCCCCCATTATTTAAGTGAGCTTGAAATCATTTTAAGTGAACTATGGCTGCAAATTCTTTTTACTGTTTTATCTCAGGGAGCACTACAGTGAAGTATTAAAGTCTGAACTCCTCCTTGTGGTGCAGAGAGACAAAGAGCCCAGCTCTTAGGAATGGCATCAGTTCTCCTGCAAATAAATGCTGAGATGCAGACTTTTGGCACATTGTGGAATAGGAGAACTATTAATTCTGTAAAGGTTTTCATGCCACTGGTTCAGGAAGGCTGTCCCACATTACACCTTACTATATCTGAATACATGTTTAAATCCCAAAGACACCCTACCTTTTTTAAAAGGAAAAGGATTATAAATCAATCACCTCCACAGGGAGGTAACTCCTAGTATTTATTCCTATGATGTATGAACTCTATGAAAAACTTCCTAAAATAATTTTTGGTTTCTCTATGTAACTCCAAAGGTGGGCTCTGACTACTATTTGGGCTTAATGCTGTAGTATCAAGCCCAAGCAATAAGCTCTCTAATCACCAATAAACCTTGCTTCCCATCATCCTGAACCCTAAGCCTCATAGATTTAGAAACACTGCATAAAAACATAAAAGGGTTAAAATATTACAAATAAATAGTTAAAATCATCATCTCTCCCTCAATCACTTCTGACACCAGACATTGCTTGTGTCCAACATGACAAATGTCTTTCAGTGTCCATGCCTCAAATGGACAACTACCCAAAGGTGAACCACCTTCATGCAAATGCATCAAGGAATGTATTGCTTTTTCATTTTCTGCCCAGCCCTTAAATGCATGCACTAAAATGTGTTCAAAACATGGCCTAATAAGGGCCTAAAAGAGGGAGAAAAATGAGTATTTCCCACTAAACTGTTTTCCCACCCTTCCCTCTCCCTGTCCCTTTCCTAAGCAAGTATTTTTAACATGTTCTTCCTGGCAGAGGAATAGAAATTATTGGTATTATCAAACCATGGGATCTCTTTAATAGGGTCTGAATATACCTTTCTAAAATCACTTGGCTTAGTATCAAAGCTATGCCTTTTTCCACCCAAACATAAATCAGATCTGTCTGAGTCACCCCTTTGTGTTGGTTTACATATAAACGTTAGTTCCTCCCTGGCCATATCTATTTAGAAAATAAGGTTCCTAACTGCCAATCAGAGCCACATCCATAAGATCATCATCTTCCTCCCCAATCATAAATTCAGGGCTTAGCCTTGAAGGCCTGTCTGCAGACAGAATTGTGTTACTTGTCAAAGACAAGGATTGGTCTGAAGAGATCGGTGATTTAGACCAACTCTCTGACTTGATGCTATGAGACTTTTTCTTGTCTCGGTCTTTGTCCCGGTCTCTATCTTTGTCTTTAACTTTCTTCTTTTCCTTTTTGTGCTTCTTATGCTTCTCTGTGCTGTATTCTGGAAGTGGTCGGATGCCATCATCTGAACTGGGACTGTTCTGGTAAGATTTCTCTGCTATAGAGGACCCTGACTCACTTTCACTGTCCAGATTCTGGGGGGTATATGCTGGCGACTTACTATGGCTGGGAGAGCCACGTTCATGTTTTGGAGTGGAACCACTTATCATTGGAGAGCCATAGTTTTTGGAAGAGGCCATCTGTGGCCTTAGCCCTTCTCCAGTACTTTCCCCAGGTTTCTGCAAAGTCACTTTGGCTTTTATGCTGGGGGAGCCACCATCATGCTTGCTGATGATAATTTTTGCCACACCTGTGCTCCCTACATTTTTTGACTCTGAAGTCTTCTTAGAAGAATCTACTGACCCCCCAGAGGTGGAAACCTTTGATTTGTCTTTATCACTTTTCTCACGCTTGCCCTGGAACTCTCCTCCTGACATGTTATGTTTGGAGGACATGGGATGGCTCGAAGAATTTGTGCTCATTCCCATTTGACCATCCATTGGATCTTCACCCCCTGGACCACTGGTGACAACCCCGTGCTTCAGCTTATCTATGACAGCTGTCAAGGATGGCTTCTTGTTTCTGCTGGGAGACTTCCCTTTAGAACTTCCATGCTGGTTCTGAGAAGATGACATGGAAGAGCCACTTGAGGAAAATGAAGAGGAAGATGTTGTACAAGTATTAGATGATGGGGGAGTTTTCTGGGACAGTGAGGCTGAGGATCCTAACCCTGAAGATGACTTCATGCCAGAGCTTGAACTAGTTCCTGACATGTGAGAACCACCAGAACCTGAACTGATAGGGGACTTGGCTTTGGAGGATGGGGGAGTGCCAGGAACAGGCTTCATTGGAGAGGCAAGTTTATCAGAACCTCCAGGAGGCCTTGAATGAGAAGGGGATATGTTTGGTTTACTTAAAGAAGGATTCATAAGTGATGATGGCTTGCCTTGAGGTTTCATCTTGCTGCTGCTAGAGCCACTACTCAGTCCATGTTTGGTAATAGGAGAGGAGCCTGGCTTCCCCCCAGACTGGGATGAATTTTTGGACTGACTAGATCCAGAAGACCCTTGGCTAGAATACATACTGCTGCTTAACTTAGAACTTGATGAACCTTCTGACTTACTGCTTTTCATCTTGCCTGAAGTGGAAGCAGATGAAGAGGAGGAAGAATGGCTATGGTGGCTTTTGCTGCCTGAGGAAGACACAGAACCACTGCTGGCATACTGACTGTGAGAAGAGGGCTTGCCCACCATTACTGTTCCCTTAGGAATCTGAATAGTGATTTTGGGAATGGGTGGTGTGGCAACACCTGGGGGAGTCTGAGATCTTCCTGAACTGCCTGGAGATTTGGACCCACCAGTACTGGTAGGTGGAGTAAAAGGTCGATTAGAAGAACTGTGAGATGGAGACTTTCCCTCAGTGTCTGCCTTCTTCCGCTTTGGAGGCTTATCTTTGCTTTTCCCATCATTAGAAGGGGTCCGGCTGCGTTTTCCTGGTTTACTGTCTGGGCCTGACAGACTACTATTACTGGTGCCATTGCCTTCCTTGACTCTCTTTTGAGCCTTTTCTTTCCCTAAGTCCCCAGTGGCTAATAAAGGACTCTGGCTACCACTGTGATGCTCCATAAGATCTGCAGGACCCAAAGCCTTACCAGCTACTGATATAATACTGAAATCAACTGTGTCAGCCTGGCTATTGCCTTTAAATTTTGTCTCCCCATTATCACCTCCCAGCATTGGCACTCCTAAAGTATTCAGTGCCTGAGATGCAAATCCTTTGAAATCATCATTATCCCCACTTTGGCTGCTTTCATCAAAATATTCTTCTCCAAAACCACTTTGGCTCTGGCTGTTCAATAAATCAGGATTGAAATCTACTCCATCAGGAAAGAAATGATTGGTAGGAGAATCACTACTGGGGCTTCCAGCAGCATCTGCAATAAGGTCAGCTGGATCAGTGTATGGATTTTCATTATTATTAGTTTGAAAGACATCAGAGTCAAAGAGTGCACTCTGAGAATGCCCAGAACTTGAAGAATCTCGAACAGGGGTACCAATGGGTGGGCAATCATCACTAGTGCTGGGAAGCTTAGAAGCCTCTTCTGCAATGTCTGAAAGAATATCAGTTACATCTGGGCCAATGCTGTCTGAACTGGATAGTCGGACCATCCTCTGAATACTGGGTTGGGGGTGAGGTACTGGTTGTGGGTAAGTTGTTGGGGGAGTGCTACACTGGCTTGGAGCTGGAGTGATGTGTGGCGTATCCAGCGTGTCAGCTGTCATGTTGACATCAAAGATTGGGTTCTGTGAATCGACATCCATTGAAAACAGCTCTCTCTGAAAATCATCTTCCGTCTGGTGCTTGGGTTTGTCAGGTGGTAATCTTGATGACTTCTTTTTCTTGGTCTTGTTGCTCCCCGGGCACATTTCCATCCGGGGTGAGCCGGAAGAGGAGTTCTGCCTTTCTAAAGGGCTGCTTCCATAAAGGGTTGAGAAATCCTGGGCAGGATTATCTTTAAGAAGGTTCATGAGCATCGGGTGGTTCTTGGTGTTGCCGGCCATCGAAGAGACAGGTGGCGGCGTGTGATGAGGAGGGGTCGGACTCGAGCCAATGGTAGACCCCCCGTTCCCTGTGATTTGCAACAAACTGGTAAGAATTGGGTTCTGAGACACCTTGCTGAAGTCCTCCCCATGGCCCACCGACTCATGCCGATCTTTGATGCTCATGCTCATATTAAACAAGGTGGTAATGGGACCCCCCGGAAAGGTGTTGGTTGGTGTAGTGGTACCACTCATTGGGTTGTTGCCTGTGGTCATGCCATACCCTGGGCTGCTAGCCGGGGGCAGGTTCTTTTTCACCATGTCTTCAACTGTCTCTGCAATGAGGGACAGAGCTGGGGTGTCAGCCTGAATGGTTTCAGCCTTCCTCCGAATAGCCCTCATCGTCACAGGGATGGACATACACCTGTAAGATAAGATGGAAAAAGCAAAGTTAACATTGCCCTACCTGCTGGAAAAAAATCAGTTTTTCTGAGGTTGGAGCCAGATAGGTACTTTAATCATTTGAGCCATATTCCCATCCCAAAGCCAATAAATTTATGAAATTTATTTACAAAAATGGGGTTAGAACTCAGGGTTTCCTGCTCTCCCTTGGCCTTTTTGTTCAAAGCTTATACTCTACCATTTGAGCAACACTTCTACTTCCCAAAACCAATTGTTTCATTAAGGAAAACAAGCTCAAATTTTGGCTTAGATTTAGGTAAGTCAATATTAGTTTGTACTAAGTAGTTTTTCAGGTTAAGGCAAATATTCTGTAATACAAGAATAGTTTTGGGCAGATTTATTTAAAAAGAATCTGACTGGTAGGTAGTTGCTGATTCTTATGAAACATAAACCATAAACAAACCACATTTATCTCCCAGATAAATATGTATCAGTAAACTTTCCTTTTTTTTCTTTTTCCTTATTTTTCTGTTTTTTTTTTTGGTGGTACTGATAGTTGAGCCAGGATTTCACATTTGCTAGCCAGGTACTCTATCACTGGAGCTATACTCCTAGCCTTTTTTAGCTTGTTGTTTTTCAGGTAAGGCCTCTTTATTTTTCTTTTTTTTGTCCTGGAAGGGCCTTAGACTGTAATCTCCTACCTGGGACCTCCCATGAAGCTGAGGTGAAAGGTGCTCATCACCAAGCAAAATTCTGGACTGAAAAGATCCTAGTCTTAAACACAACCCTTTTGATCTCCATTTCTGGAGTAGCTGGGGTTAGACACATAAGCCCCTAGCAAACTTTTTCTTATCAAGTCAGACAGTAATATTGGCAGCATTATTAATCATAGAAGTTTTGTTGAATTACTATGCCATCTTAGCTTGAAAGCTGTCACAGCAGTGTTCCAATAAAACTTACAAAATTAGGACAACAGCTACTGAATTAGAAAAACATTATCAATATTATTAAAGTGTCTAATGCATCTCCTCATACACTGACATTTAACATGGTTGTTAAAATGTGGCAAATGAGGGCTGGAATTGTGGCTTAATGGTAGAGTGCTTGCCTAGCATGCATGAAGCCCCGGGTTTAATTCTTCAGTACCACATGAACAGAAAAAGCCAGATGTGATGCTGTGGCTCAAGTGGTAGAGTGCAAGCCTTGAGCAAAAGAAGCTCAGGGACATTGCCTAGGCACTGAGTCCAAGCCCCAGGACTTGCCAAAAAAAAAAAAAAAAAAAGTAGCAAATAACATCAGGTGAAGAAAAGGAAACAAACAGTATTATTTCCTTTCTGTCACCTTGAAGTAACACCCATACAAGGCCGGAAGTTACCTACCTTGTTTCTTAGTACTTTTATTATACTTAAAAAAAAATAAAAAGCTCAGTTTATTTTTTAAATCAAAAGCAGAGAAAAGTGAATTCAAAGCAATGACCAATTTCTTTTCTCCTTTATTTGTAATTCATTCTAGTACTAAAAGCAACGTATTTATAGATAGATATATTAATGATACTCTGATGGACAAGGGCCAGTGCTACCTTTGAACAACTTTGGCAATGAAGTCATCTGTGCAGATGAGTGCATCTGACAGTCCCTTGTAGAGTTTACAGCTGACATGTGTTGAGTCCTGCACATCCATTACCACTGCAAGACAAAATATTGAGGAAACAGGTGTGATATACTCAGTTTCTGACCTTCGAAGTGATACAAGGATGAAACTGCTCCCAAAAGGATTTGTACCCAAACAACTCACCACACACCAGGGAATCATTCACAGGATGCTGAAAAGATACACTGAAACGGGATTCTGAGAGGGGACATACTTCAAACTGAAGAAGCCCAGGACAATCTAAAAGGTACAAAAAGATCATAAAATGAACAAAATATATGACATAGGACAAGTGAATAATAAACTTTTTTTCCCTTCTTGGAAACTAAGTAGCCCACAAATAGGAGAAATCAGATTCCAATAAATTGCCATTTATTATACATTTCTCCAGAACAAAAAAGTAATGGAATTTTCAATTTTTTTTTTTTGTCGGTCTTGGAACTTGAACTGGCCTGGGCACCTGTCCCTTAGCTCTTCAGCTCAAGGCTAGCACTCTACTACTTGAGCCACAGCACCCACTTCCGGTTTTTCTGCTTATGTGGTGCTGAGGAATTTGAACCCAGGGCCTCATGCATGTGAAGCAAGCACTCTACCACTGAGCCACATTCCCAGGCTGAACTTTCAATTTTCTTTTCTTTTTTTTTGTCGGCCGTGGGGCTTGAACTCTGGGCCTGGGCGCTGTCCCTCAGCTCTTCAGCTCAAGGCGAGCGCTCTACCACTTGAGCTACAGCGCCACTTCCGGTTTTCTGGTGGTTTATTGGAGATAGGAGTCTCTCCTGCCCGGGCTGGCTTTGAACCGCGATCCTCAGATCTCAGCCTCCTGAGTAGCTAGGATTACAGGCGTGAGCCACCAGCGCCCGGCTGAACTTTCAATTTTCTAAGAAAAGGATATCTGATACAGCAACCAGATGGGTACTCCTAGCAATTCAGGAGTCTGAGATCTGAGAATCCCAGTATGAAAACAGTCTAGGCAAAAAAAAAGTCCCTGACTCTCTCATCTCCAATTAACAAGCCAGAAGTGGCCTGGGGCCAGTGGCTTATGCCTGTAATCCTAGCTACTCAGGAGGCTGAAATTTGAGGATCAAGGTTCCAAGCCAAACTAGCCAGGCAGGTCCATCAGACTCTTATCTCCAGTTAACTAGCAAAAAGTACTCTGAAAACATAAGCAGTATTATTTTATTTTGTTTTGAGATAGGGTCTTGCTCAGCTTGGCTTGGGATTATAGGTATGTGCTACTACAACTGGCTCTTAAAAAAAATTTTCATTCTATTTGATAAGCAGCCATTCAGAACTACTACCATAAACACTGTTTTCTATCAGTGTTTACAGCTGTTGGCTATACAGTCCAAAGTTATTCAAAGTAGCACTGGCCGCCAGGCGCTGGTGGCTCACGCCTGTAATCCTAGCTACTCAGGAGGCTGAGATCTGAGGATCGCAGTTCAAAGCCAGCCCGGGCAGGAGAGACCGTGAGACTCCTATCTCCAATAAAACACCAGAAAACCGGAAGTGGCGCTGTAGCTCAAGTGGTAGAGCGCTCGCCTTGAGCTGAAGAGCTGAGGGACAGCGCCCAGGCCCAGAGTTCAAGCCCCACGACCGACAAAAAAAAAAAAAAAAAAGTAGCACTGGCCCTTTTCTAGTAGAGTGCCATTAAGATAGTTGGTAAGCAGACACATGTCAAGGCTATATAATTCAAGATGATGTATTTAAACACATACATTTAACTATCATTATAGGTTGTTTATTGTTATTTGTAGTCCTTAGCATTAAATCCAGGACTTTGCACTTACTAGCCAAGCACACTATTGCTAAGCTAAACTTTAGTCCTGGTTTTATTTTCATTTATTTAATTGTTTTTGAGACATACTCTTGCTGCATACCCCAGTGAATCTGCTATATGCTCAGGCTGGCCAGGAACTTCTGAACTCAGGCCTTCACGTTTGCTAGGTAATTGCTACACTGCTTAAGCCACACTTCTAGGCCATTTGCTCTGGTTATTTTTGAGATTGAGTCCTGATTTTTGCCAAGCCTCCTAGTCCTTGATTTTAGCCTTTACATTTTAACTAGGATGACAGGTATATGCCACACATATACCCTGTTCTGTCAAGATGGAGTCTTGTGAACGTTTTCCCTCAGATTAGCCTGAAATTAAAATAATCTTGATCTTAGCCTCCCACAAAGCTGGGATAATAACAGGAGCACCTCAACATGCCCACTAAGTGGTTCAGGGATCAGAGACTCCTAAACTTTCTGCCCTACTTTGTCTGGAACTGGGTGAACCACTGTCACCTGGCCTGGAACTCAATCCTCCTACCTCAGCATTCCCAAGTATTAGGATTATAGATATGCACAATGATGACTTGTGCATTACCACTGAGCTAGAACTCAACCTCCAATCTTTGTTTTCTTTTCATGTGTTTAATTAATTAGTCAGTCTTGGGGCTTGAACTCAAGGCCTGGGCACTGTCCCTGAGCCTCATTGTGCTCAAGGCTAGCACTCTACCACTGAGATACAGCACCACTTCCACCTTTTTCTGAATTGTTTACTGGAGACAAGGAATCTCACGATCTGGGGGCTGATGGCTCACACCTATAATCCTAGCTATTTAGGAGGAGGCTGAGATATGAGGATGAACTTCAAAGCCAGCCAAGGGCAGGAAAGTCAGTGAGAACCAAATGGTAGAGCACTAGCCTTGAGCACAAAGAGGCTCAGGGATAGTGCCCAGAGTTCAAGCCCAGGACTGGCAAAATAATAAAAATAAAAAAAGAGTCTCATAGACTAGCTTTGAACCCCCAAACCTCAGATTTCAGCCTACTGAGTAGCCAGGACTACAGGCATGAGCCATTGATGCCCAACTTTAAACTTTGGTTTTTTAACCATATATATATTTTATTTATTTATTTTTTGGGGGGGTGGAGGGGGAGGTCCGGTCATGGGGCCTGAACTCTGGGCCTGAGCACTGTCCCTCAGCTCTTCAGCTCAAGGCTAGCACTCTACCACTTGAGCCACAGCACCACTTCTGGTTTTTTTCTTTTTGCTTATGTGGTGCTGAGGAATGGAACCCAGGGCCTCATGCATGCAAGGCAAGCGCTCTACCACTGAGCGCTTCATGGGGCTTCAACTCTGGGCTTGGGTGCTGTCCCTGTGCTCTTCAGCTCAAGGTGAGTGCTCTACCACTTGAGCCACAGCACCACTTCTGGTTTTCTGGTGGTTAACTGTAAGAGTCTCATGGACTTGGGGGCTGGGAAGGTGGCTCAGTGGTAGAGCGCTTGCCTTGCATGTATGAGGCCCTGGGTTCGATTCCTCAGCACCACGTAAGCAAAAAAAAGAAAAAAGCTAGAAGTGGAGCTGTGGCTCCAGTGGTAGAGCGCTAGCCTTGAGCTGAAGAGCTGAGGGACAGTGCCCAGGCCCAGAGTTCAGGCCCCACAACCAGACCCAAAAAAAAAAAAAAAAAAAAGAGTCTCATAGACTTTCCTGCCTGGGCTGGCTTTGAACCACGATCCTCACATCTTATTCTCCGGAGTAGCTAGTATTACAGGCATGAGCCACTGGTGCCCAGCTGAACCATATATTCTTAAAGTCCAGATAGAAGGATCACATACTTTCATGAGGGGAGGGGGAATCACACATCTCTATAGAGTTAGTTCTATGACTACTTGGTGAAAACCAATTTTCAAACTCTGAGCTATTTAGAGAATTCTTGTAGGATTCAAACACATGTAGTACAAGAACTACATTTGCTTGATCTATGTTATTATTTTCTCAAAAATTTCTCATTTCTTGGGGGCTGGGAAGGTGGCTCAGTGGTAGAGCAATTGCCTTGCATGCATGAGGCCCTGGGTTTGATTCCTCAGCACCACATAAGCAAAAAGAAAAATGCCAGAAGTGGCTCTGTGGCTCAAGTGGTAGAGCACTGGCCTTGAGCTGAAGAGCTGAGGAACAGCGCCCAGGCCCAGAGTTCAAGGCCCCCCGCCCAAAAAAAAAAGTTCTTATTTCAAAATTCTTATTTCCAAAGCATTTCTTTCTAACATAAAATTTTCTCCTGGTTTACAATCTGTTTCTTCTTCCCTACCATTTTCATTGATATATAATTTAACATTGGAATGCTTTATGTCCAAGATAAAAAATTAACTGTGGCCAGGTGCTTGTGGCTCACATCTGTATTCCTAGCTTCTCAGTAGGCTCAGACTTGAGTATTGTTATTCAAAGCCAGCCTGTGCAGAAAGTCCATGAGACTCTTATCTCCAATTCACCACGAGAAAAGCAGAAGTGGTGCTACGGCTCAAAGTGGTAGAGCTTTAGCCTTGGGCAAAGAGATCAGGGATAGTGCCCAGGCCCTGAGTTCAAACCCTACAACTGACAAAAAAATTTAACTATCATTAGCTAGAATAGCTAAAATTTTCAGCAAACCTTCTAAATAACGAACTGACTAAAAAATTCTTTCAAGTTTCAGAATACTAAAGAAAAACAGAAGAGTATAAGGTCTTACTTTTTGTGCATGCCAATACTGGCCTTCAACTCAAATCCTGTGTATTCTCCCCCTTAGTGTTTTGGCTTAAGGCTGACACTCTACCACTTGAACCACAGCTCCACTTCTGATTGGAAGTAAGAGTCTCATGGACTTTCCTATCTAGCCTAGCTTCAACTATGATCCTTAAATTTCAAACTTACTAGCACCTGGCCTAGATCTCACTGTTTTGATGCTATAGGATATAGTTCTCCAAAGAGTAGAGGGAAACATATGCAAAGAACTAGACATTGTCCTAACAACCTAATATTTAGCCATCAAGAAATCTCACTTTATTTCCACTAACCAATTAATATCAAATTGAACACAAACTGGTGCTCCTATCAAAACCATTTGGATGGTTAAATTCCCAATTCCTTGCAATGGCAGTCTAACTCAGTTCATCTAGGTGTGGAAATCAAAACACCTGGAGTTTTCTTTCCACAAGAGTTTCAATAGCTACCAAGTTCCTGAAGTTTTTATTCTGATTTGTTTGCAGGACTTGATCTTAAATCCTTGGGCATTCTGGGCAAGAATTCTTTTTTTTTTTTGGGTCCGGTCGTGGGGCCTGAACTCTGGGCATGGGCGCTGTCCCTCAGCTCTTCAGCTCAAGGCTAGTGCTCTACCACTTGAGCCATAGCGCCACTTCCGTTTTTTTTCTTATGTGGTGCTGAGGAATCGAACCCAGGGCCTCAAGCATGCAAGGCAAGTGCTCTACCACTGAGCCACCTTCCCAGCCCCTGGGCAAGAATTCTTAACAAAATCCCTAGTCTTTTTTTTTTTAAACTAGTCTTGGGCCTTGAACTCAGGTCTTGGGCATTGTCCCTGAGTAATTTTGCTCAAGGCCAGTGCAATACCATTTGTGCTACTGCTCTACTTCTGGCTTTTTGGTGGTCTGGAGGTAAGAGTTTCACAGATTTCTTGCCTGGGCTGGCTTTGAACTGTGATAATCAGATCTCAGTCTTCTGAGTCGCTAGGATTATAGGCGTGAACCACTGGTGCCTGGCAGGCCCTTGCTTTTATGAGAGGGTACTCATGTTTCTGTTTCCTCAGTGCTGGGACTACACGTGGGCACTACCATAGTTGACTTGGTTCACCAAATTAAAGAACAACTAGAATAATCAGTGTCCATTTTCTAGTAAGAATTTAAAACAGAATAGGAGTACCTTCTTTTAAAATAGTTCTTTTGACACAGCTTCCAATTAGGGTATTATAGGCCACTTGATGTCTAATCATATTGAGGATAAGAGGAACTCGGCCAGGATGCTGAAAGGTGATTTTGCTAACCAGTGTTCCTTGTAGACTTCGTCCATCTGGAAGAGGAGCATCTTTGTTGAGAAAATAACAGTGTTGCTGACCTGGAAGAGCCTGGGCAAAAAAAGAACAAATAAATGAATGCTATTTATTTACTTATTGTACTGCAACACAGACTATCCTGAAAGAAAACCTACTCCTTTAAAGAGTACAGTGAGGCCAGGTGCTGATCACTCACTTCTATAATCCTACTATTCAGGAGACTGAGATCTGAGAATCACAGTTCAAAGCTAGTCCCAGCAGACAAGCAGGCAGGTAGACAAGTAGGCAGGCAGGCAGACAAAATCCTATCTCAATTTAACTACTTAAAAGTCAGAATTGGAGCTGTGGCTCTAGTAGTAGAATGTCAGCCTCAAGTGAATAAGGGAAAGTGCCCAGGCCTTGTGTCCAAGCCCCAGTACTGGTACCACAAGAAAACAAAAGAAAGCAAAAGAAAAAAGCACAGTAACATCTTGGGATGTAATAAAATTTCAGAATTCTTTGACTACTAGATATTATAAATGCTAATCAGTTATTCATTTGGATGATAAGATTCCTTTTTAGTACATGTTCTATGCTGGTCAGTTCCTAACATGGTGAGGTTATAAGAAGATAGATTCAGCCAGGCGCTGGTGGCTCACGCCTGTAATCCTAGCTACTCAGGAGGCTGAGATCTGAGGATCACGGTTCAAAGCCAGCCCGGGCAGGAGAGACCGTGAGACTCCTATCTCCAATAAACCACCAGAAAACCGGAAGTGGCGCTGTAGCTCAAGTGGTAGAGCACTCGCCTTGAGCTGAAGAGCTGAGGGACAGCGCCCAGGCCCAGAGTTCAAGCCCCACGACTGACCAAAAAAAAAAAAAGAAGATAGATTCTCACAGACTTGTCCGTCCATGCTGGCTTCTAGCCACAATACTCAAATTTCATCTACCTGAGTAGCTAGGATTATAATCATGAGCCACCAGGTGCCTGTCTTAACTGTTGGTTTTGTTTTTTGGTAGGTCCTGGGGCTTGAACTAATGGCCTGGGTGCTGTCCCTAAGCTATTTTGCTAAAGGCTAACGTTATACCACCTTAAGCCACAGTGCTACTTCCAGTTTTCTGGTGGTTAATTGGAGATTAGAGTCTCATGGATTTTCTTCCCTGGGCTGGCTTTGAACTGTGTTCTTCAGATCTCAGCCTCCTGAGTAGTTAGAATTACAGGTGAGAGCCACCAGTGCCAGGCAACTCTTGTTTTTTTTAAGACAATCTCACTATGTAGCTCAGGATAGCCTCAAACTTGCAATCTTCCTGCCTCCGCCTCTTTTCTGTTTAATGTGTTTCACCACACCCAATTCTTAACAGATATTTTAAAGAATATATGTATGTATATACATAAATATATATCTATTCAGAATCTCTTTCCTTTTTCTTCAGAAATTTTCATGTTTTTACTAATGTCTTCCCAGTCCAAAAGATGTTATCAGACATCAATAATGCTATAAAGGGAAATTTTCATCTTAAGCCCACATATAACCTACAACAGTCTAATTACAAAGGGCCTACTTACAGCATAAAACCGCATATTGTGATTCAAAGGTATGGGATCTGGATCCTTCGACAACTCAAATTGGGTAATCAGTTCATAGAGGGGTACGTAAGTTGGTTGAGTTTCAAACAATGGAATTCCTGGAAATACAAGGAATAAATGTAATGATCACATTAAGATTTTTAAAAATTGACAAATTGCAGCTTGATTTTCCTTCCCTAATTTTTTACGTTTATTCACCCATATATTCAAACAGTATTTACTAAGCATCTGCTAACACTATACCATCTATACCCATTAGTTTTTTCTTTCTCTTTCTCTTGTTTGTCCTGCAACTTAGTGCCTTCCCTTTGCTAGGCAGGCATTCTACTACTTAAAAGCCAGATGGCCAAGCCTCCTATCAATATTTTTTTGAAGGCTGCAAGATTATAAATTCTGCCGGGCGCTGGTGGCTCACGCCTGTAATCCTAGCTACTCAGGAGGCTGAGATCTGAGGATCGCGGTTCAAAGCCAGCCCGGGCAGGAAAGACCGTGAGACTCCTATCTCCAATAAACCACCAGAAAACCGGAAGTGGCGCTGTAGCTCAAGTGGTAGAGCGCTCGCCTTGAGCTGAAGAGCTGAGGGACAGCGCCCAGGCCCAGAGTTCAAGCCCCATGACCGACAAAAAAAAAAAAAAAAAAAAAGATTATAAATTCTACAGAACATGAAGTTTCTTGTACATATTTAAGGCAAGTAAGTATCTGATTCTGATGCTGAAATGTTTTGGGCTAGGAATGTAGCTTAGTGGTTGAGTGCTTGCCTAGCATGCATGAAGCCCTGGGTTTGATTCCTCAGTACCACATAAACTGCAAAATCTGGAAGTGGTACTATGGCTCAAGTGGTAGAGCGCTAGCCTTCAGCAAAAAGAACCTCAGAGACAATGCTCAGGCCCTGAGTTCAAGCTCCAGGACTGACCAAAAAAAACCCCAAAACACAACAATAAAAACTTACCTGTGCAATTCTGTAGCTTCTGAACAAATGCTCTAGATACTGGGATTGGTTGGGGAAATTTCAAGAAGAAACAGGCAGGAAGATCAACACTGTTGGCACTGGTGATTGAGGAGAAGGAAGGAGTCCTTCAAAAAAAGTGGAGAGGAGGGTTAGATTTTAAGTTGATATGAAAATAGGAATTTAAACATCTATTTGTAGACATGCATGAATCACACAGACACAGACAGAAACACCTCTCTATCTCTCTTTCTCTCTCCCTCTCTCTTAAAAGCTCATTCTTGGAAAGATAGATTAGGGATAGTAAAGCATGGTGAAGGGCAGCCAGGAATTTAGAAAACAACTGTATTTAGAAACACAAAAGCACTATTTTCTTTGTTTTAATCCTTGCACTCCTTCAGAAGCTACAGTATTAGCACAAGAAAAAAGAAAAGAACAAGAGCAGTTTTTTCCATCAAACCTTGCCTGCTGACCCAAACAATTAGTGTGCCTAAAAACTGAGGAAGAATATTATTTTTTTTAAAAAGTAAATAAAGAAAAGAAAAGAAAAACCTATATCCTGGAGAAGAAAATACTTGGAAAAATGGCTCCTCCAGGCACAAAGCACTTATCTCAAAGATAAACATTTGTGGCAGGATGAATTCTTTCCTAAAAGGGATGCCCAAACATGATAATCAAATATTCAAATAATAAAAACGTAATACCTTTATCAAAAAAATACCCCTAATGCCAAAGAACTCAATGTCTCTTCCTTTGAGAGCACCCATACTCTGTTAGAGTATGCCTCTGCGTTTCTAAAGCTCTGTCAAATTTTCTTAAAAAGAAAAAGAAAAGCTCACTTTCAATTTCTTTCCTACAATTGGAGGGGGGGGGGGGGGAGAGGGGGAGGGAGAGAGAGAGAGAGAAAGAGAGAGAGAGAGGAAGAGAGGGAGAGAGGGAGAGAGAGAGTGTATGTGTGTGTGTCCTGGGGCTTAAACTCAGGGAATGGGCACTATCAATGAGCTTTTGTGCTCAAAGCTAGAGTTTTACCACTTTGAGCCACAGCTCCACTTCTGGTTTTCTGGTAGTTTATTGGAGTTAAGAGTTGCATAGAGCCGGGCGCTGGTGGCTCACGCCTGTAATCCTAGCTACTCAGGAGGCTGAGATCTGAGAATCGAGGTTCAAAGCCAGCCCGGGCAGGAGAGACCGTGAGACTCCTATCTCCAATAAACCACCAGAAAACCGGAAGTGGCGCTGTAGCTCAAGTGGTAGAGCGCTCGCCTTGAGCTGAAGAGCTGAGGGACAGCGCCCAGGCCCAGAGTTCAAGCCCCATGACCGACAAAAAAAAAAAAAAAAAAAGAGTTGCACAGAGGGCTGGGAAGTTGGCTCAGTGGTAGAAGCGCTTGCCTTGCATGCCTGAGGCCCTGGGTTCGATTCCTCAGCACCACATAAGCAAAAGGAAAAAAGCCGGAAGTGGTGCTGTGGCTCAAGAGGTGGAGCACTAGCCTTGAGCTGAAGAGTTGAGGGACAGCGCCCAGGCCCAGAGTTCAGGCCACACGACCGGACCCAAAAAAAAAAAAGAAAAAAGAGTTGCATAGACTTTCCTGCCTAGGCTGGCTTTAAACTGGCATTCTCAGATCTCAGCTTCCTGAATCTCTAGGATTACAGGTGTGAAGCCAACAGCACCTTGCTCTCTGAGCATTTTTGCTCGAGGCTAGTACTCTACCATTTGAACCACAGCTCCACTTGTTTCTTTTTTTTTTTTTTTGGTGGTTAATTGGAGATAAGAGTCTCATGGCTTTATAGGCCCAGGCTGGCTTTGAACTGCAATTCTTAGATCTCAACTGCCTGAATAGTTAGAATTACAGGCATAAGCTACTAGTGCCTAGCTAATGCTGAAGTTTTAATGAGGCATTTATCCTGGCTCAACGTGCTTATTGGTAGGGCATATGCTCAGGGTTTGATTGGCACCCCCCCAAAAAAAAAACACCAACATTCTTATTCATGGTAAAGAATTTCTGCTATGAACAGACATCAGAAGAGGAACACTTAGCAGATACTGAACAAAAAAGAAGTCAATGGACAGAACAAGCAATTCTTTAGAAATTCAAGTGGGAAAAGAGCTAAGTAAAATATATGTTTCAGGGCATAAAGGTAGAAAAATTTTCTTTAGCCGGGCGTCGGTGGCTCACACCTGTAATCCTAGCTGCTAAGGAAGCTGAGATCTGAGGATCACAGTTCAAAGCCAGCCCAGGCAGGAAAGTCCGTGAGGCTCTTATCTCCAATAAACCACTAGAAAACCAGAAATGGTGCTGTGGCTCAAGTGGTAGAGCACTGGCCTTGAGCTGAAGAGCGTAGGGACAGTGCCCAGGGCAGAGTTCAAGCCCCACCACTGTCAAAAAAAAAAAGAAAGAAAAATTTTCTTTGATACCCACAAATTGTATTTAACTTACCATTTGTTATCAACTGGATGTGACCCCATAATTAATGGTGCAATTGGGAGTTTGTACATAGCAGAAGTCCCTTCAATTGTCACTGATGCATTCATCCCCAAAGACCGAGGAACTGGGAATAGGAAAGAAAATGCGAAAGCAACAGAAGTTTTAGGGATTAGAACCTTTAATGATAAAAAAAATACTTAAGTATGGTTCTTTTTTAGTACTAAGTTTCAACCAGAAATTATAGGCAGGCTGATTATTCAACGCATATAAATACTTTTAAAACACTGGGTAAAGCCTTTGGTTGTTTTACTGTTAAAGGCATACCATTATTCTCATGCAAAATGATAGGAGATGCAGTCTTATCATCCAGCAGGTCAGAAGGAGAGGCATAGTACTTCATGTTCATTAAGTGACCTATCAAAAACAAAGTTATTACTGTGTCTTAATTCATAAATTATAAAAAGCATTCACACTTCTATACAGACTTATACAAACAGTTTCACAGATATAAGGAGTCAAGTTGCAAAATAACTTATGAAATATCACAAAATATTACAGGATACTAGAAGCAACAGTTTACTTCATACAACTGAAAAAAATGGGGAAGGGTAGGAATGAACACTTTAGAAATTACAAATACACAAATAACTACTAATTTCTCTTTTCTTTTAGTTTCTATCTTTACACCCAGGGTGGCATTAAAAGTAATGACCCCGTCCCAATTAAAAAAGACATTTTTCTTAATTACCAAAATAGGATAACATACCACCACTCCGTGGAGTGAGATAGCCAACACTTCCATGAAGAATTTTATCCAAGGGACCAGCATTAGTTGCTTTCCTACAAGACAAATGATGTATGTTTGCTTGTGTTTGAGCCCTGAAGGTCTTAGTATACAGCTCTCATGACCTCTGTCCTATAATCAGGCATATAGCAAATAGATTATTTCCCAATACACATCAATATGTAATATGATAAATGAGAATTAGAACTCAACTATGTGTGGGGCTGGGAATGTGGCTTAGTGGTAGAGTGCTTGCCTACCAAGCATAAAGTCCCCAGGTTGATTCCTCAGTACCCCATAAACAGAAAAAGCCAGAAGTGGTGCTCTGGCTCAAGTGACAGAGTGCTAGCCTCGAGCAAAGAAGCTCAGGGATAGTGCCCAGTCCCTGAGTTCAAGCCTAGGACTGACAAAAAAAGAAGTGGCAAAAAAGTATGTGTGGTGACACATACTTATAATCTCAATACTTTTGGGAAGCTTGAGGCAAGGAGATCCTTAGTTCAAAGCCAACCTGAGCTACCAAATAAGAAAAAATTGTAAGTAGATTACTTTGTTTTGACAGTTCTGGGAATTAGAGCCAGGTTTTTATGCATAGTAAGTAAACATTTTATCGCTCAAACCACATCTTCAGCCCTAGACCACATGTCACATGGGAGTACAAATCAGAGAGGTTTCCAGATAATAGCTATGAAATACCACCTAACAGCTTAGTATAATAACAATCATAAGATAGCAAGCAATTATCTGAGAAGAGAAAACCAAGGTTCAAGATGTATTATATAAGCCTGGTACTGGTGGCGTATGCCTGTAATCTTAGCTACTTAGGAGGCTGAGATCTGTTCCAAACCAGCTCAGGCAGGGAGTGCGTAAGACTTTCTTCTCCAATTACTACTAAAAAGTCAAATGAAGCTATTGGTCAAGTAGCAGAATGCTAGCCTTGGGCCAAAAAGATCAGGGACAGAGCCTAATTCCTGAGTTCAAGCCCCAGGAATGGTGCGCACGCGCACGCGCGCGTGCGCACACACACGCGCGCGCACACACACGTATTATACATATACAATATAGGTACACACATGTGTAATATAAATGTATAATATAATATATGCCCAAAGCATAGATATGTAAATTAGGATACCCTGAGTGAAAAACCAAGAGGCATAGAGAATTGACTCTTTGGCCAATCTTACCAGTACATAATTGCCATTTTAGACAGATCTTGTTCTAAGGATTGGAGAGCCAAATACATTTTGGTCTTCAGTTTGCTAGAGAATAGATGAGGAGAAAATGAGTTAAATAGTAAAAAAAAATATACATGTATAACAAGCAAACATTGACATAGAAAGCCTTAAGGGAAAGTCTATATTGGAGGGAAAGTAAACATTAACATTTTTAAAATTTATTTTTCTAATTTTTTATTATATATATTTATTTTAAACATACTGTAAAGAGGGGTTACAGTTACTGAGTAAGGTAATAAGTACATTTCCTTTTGAGCATTGTACCTCCTACTTTGTTTTTCCCCTACCATCTCTTCCCTCCCCAACATAGAACATTTTAAAAGGTGAATATCCAAGCTTATTTTTATTTCCATTTAAGAGGTCATAAGGTTAATAAAACTTCAGTTATTCTAAAATTTTAAATTTCAAGTCAGTTCTACAACTGATTAACTCCTTTTAACTAAGAAATCAATATGTGGAAAAGATGTCAAGGATTATACTGTTTTTTGGCATTATAACCCATTAATGAAAATACTCCCCCCATTTAAAACAAAATACAAAAAAAGTTTTGAAAGACATAAAATCAGAAGCTACACTATAAATTACAATATGAGTAGAAATCAAGAATGGTGGGGCAGGGAAGGTGGCTCAGTGGTAGAACACTTGCCTTGCATGCCTGAGGCCCTGGTTCGATTCCTCAGCACTACATAAGCAAAAAGAAAAAAGCCAGAAGTGGCGCTGTGGCTCAAGTGGTAGAGTGCTAGCCTTGAGCTGAAGAACTGAGGGACAGCGCCCAGGCCCAGAGTTCAGGCCCCACGACCAGATCCAAACAAATAAAAAATAAAATTAAATAAATAAATAAAAAATAAAAAACATTAAAAAAAATACTCCTCATTTAAAACAAAATACAAAAAAAGTTTTGAAAGACATAAAATCAGAAGCTACATTATAAATTACAATATGAGTAGAAATCAAGAATGGCGGGGCAGGGAAGGTGGCTCAGTGGTAAAGCGCTTGCCTTGCATGCATGAGGCCCTGGGTTTGATTCCTCAGCACCACATAAACAAAAAGAAAAATGCCGGAAGTGGCGCTGTGGCTCAAGTGGTAGAGCACTAGCCTTGAGCTGAAGAGTTGAGGGACAGTGCCCAGGCCCAGAGTTCAGGCCCCACAACTGGACCCCCGCCCCCCTAAAAAAAAGAAATCAAGAATGGCTTATGGCAAAAAAGTAAACAAACTTCTAACTACAAAACAGCTTAAAACTTATCCTGACTTTTCAAAAGGCAGTAAGAGTAATAAAAAATACTTACTTATCTCCTGGAAGGTTATACAGATTAACAAGGCCCTTAAGATGCTTAGAAAATTCATCAAAATTTTTTTCCCTATGAGGCGTTCAGGAAAGGAGGAAAAAAGAGAATACAACATAGCATTACTACTCAATCATATGAAAAAAAGATGGCAAAAATTGTGGCTATATAAAATGATTTTAGTACTCTAATCCCCCCCCCCAAGTGTTTTGGAGTCAATCAAGAATAGCAAAATACAAAGAAATATTCTCCTTTCTCTTCTTGTCCTATTTTTCTAGAGAAGTTATTAAGAAGTATAAAAGCCACAGTCAGGAGCTAGTAGCTTATATCTATTATCCTAGCTAGTCAGGAGGGTGAAATCTAATGATTGAAGTTTAAAGCCATCCCAGGCAGCAAAGTTCGTAAGATTTTTCATGTACAATTAACCAGCAAAAAGGCAGAACTAGAAGTCACTCAAATGGTAGAGCACTTAGCTGTGAGTGAAGAAAGGCTAGCAAGAGCTTGAGGCCTTAGGTTCAAGTCCTAGTACCAGCACAAAATAGCTTAGAAATATTTATTAAGAATGATGAGAGGCTGGGCGCTGGTGGCTCATGCCTGTAATCCTAGCTACTCAGAAGGCTGAGATCTGAGGATCACGGTTCAAAGCCAGCCCGGCAGGAAAGTACGTGAGACTCTTACCTCCAATAAAAACCACTAGAAAACCGGAAGTGGCACTGTGGCTCAAGCGGTAGAACGCTGGCCTTGAGCTGAAGAGCACAACACCCAACCCCAGAGTTCAAGCCCCACGACCAACCAAAAAAAAAAAAAGAATGATGAGAGAGGGGCTGGAAGGTGGCTCAGTGGTAGAGTGCTTGCCTTGCATGCATGAGTCCCTGGGTTCAATTCCTCAGCACCACATAAGCAGAAAAAGCTGGAAGTGGTGTTGTGGCTCAAGTGGTAGTGCGCTTGCCTTGAGCTGAGAGTCAGTGCCCAGGCCCATAGATCAGGCCCCAAGACCAACCAAAAAAAGAAAAAAGAAGAATGATGAAAGAAGGCTGGGAATGTAGCTTAGTAGTAGAGTGCTTGCCTAGCATGCATGAAGCTCTGGGTTCTATTCCTCAGTACCACATAAACAGAAAAAGCTGGAAGTGGCACTGTGGCTCAAGTGGTATAGCGCTAGGCTAGAGCAAAAGAAGCTCAGGGATAGTGCACCTATGCCCTGAGTTCAAGCCCCAGGACAGAAAAAAAAAAAAAAAAAGAATAACAGTGACCAAGATGCATTGTACTCACAAATTGACATGTTCAAATGAAACCCCACTTTGTACAAATACTTAAACAAGCTGGTTCCAGTGGCTGAAACCTATAATCTTATCTACACAGGAGGTTGAGCAAGGTTTGAAGCTAGCCTAGGCAAGAAAGTCTGCAAGACTCTTATCTCCAATTAACTACAAAAAGCCAGAAGTGGAGGTATGGCTCAAGTGGTAAAGCTCATACCCAATTCAAAAGGAAGAGACTAATTAATGGGAAAAAGCAACCAACTGATAGGATACTGTCTTCAAGCTAACTACTTTTATCATAAGAATTGTAAGTATAAGCTGAGTGTCGGTGGCTCACACCTATAATCCTAGCTACTCAGGAGCCTGAGATCTGAGGATCGCAGTTCAAAGCCAGCCCGGGCAGGAAAAACCCATGAGACTCTGATCTCCAATACACCACCAGAAAACTGAAGTGGTGCTGTGGCTCAAGCGGTAGAGTGCTAGCTTTGAGCTGAAGAGCTAAGGGATAAGAGTCTAGGACCAGAGTTCAAGACTCATGACAGACAGAAAAAAAAAAAAAGAAAGAAAAAATCCTGTAAGTGTATGTACCTTAAATATAACAATAAAACTTTCTCAGCCAGGCAACAGTGACTCACACTTGTAATCCTAGCTACTTAAAGAGGCCAACACCCAAGGATTGTGGTTCAAAGCCATCCTGGGCAGGCAAGTCTGTAAGGTTCTTATCTCTAATTAACAATTAAAAAACCATTATTGGAGCTGTGGCTCAAATGGTAAAGTGCTAGCCTTGAAGAAAAAAAACTTCAGGGACTGTGCCAAGAAACTGAGTTCAAGCCTAGGATCACACTAAATAAAATTTTCTTACAATTGAAATAAGTTGTTTTCATGATGCAAACACAAATGTTTTCAAACCTTTCTAATTAAATTGGGTTCTAACTAGGTACCAGTGACTCACACCTATAATCCTAGCTACTCAGGAGGCTGAGATCTGAGGACTGCAGTTTGAAGCCAGCCTGGGCATGAAAGTCTGTGAGACTCTTATCTCCAATTAACCATAAAAATCTGGAAGAAGAGGTATTGCTCAAGTGGTAGAGCTTTAGCCTTGAACACAGAAGCTTGGAATAGCATGCAGGCCTAGAGTTCAAGTCCCAGAACTGGGAAAATAAATAAATAAATAAATAAAATGGACAGCTTGATTCTAGGGAATTTAAGACCAATCTGGGCAACACTGCTATAACCTATATAAAAAACAAAACAAAACAAGGCATGGAAATGCCTATAATCCCAGCATTCAGGAGAACAAAGGAGAATGATCTCAAATTGAAACCCAGTTTTACACACACACACACAAAAAATCCAAAACAAACCAATAACAACAAAAACAACAACAGAAAAAAGCAACCACCAAGATTCTGGCAGTGCCCAGAAATATGTTATTTACTCACCTTAACTGCTGTACAAGCTCTGGACAGCTCTGAAATGAAAGAAATTACATTAAAACATTAAACTATATTAATACCTTTCAAGACATCTAAAGACTTTGATTAATAGCACATGCTTCATAACAAAAAACATTGACTACAGAAATCCCTTAAGATATCAAAAGGATAGTCTTTCTACTTGGTGAACCATAGTGTTGGGACAGGATATTAAAAATAAAAAGATTAATTTATAAAGGAATCAACTTTTATCAAATTAAGACATCAGGAACTCTCTTTAATGTCAATCTTGGAATTCAGATCATACTAACTGGTTGCTTATATTTCACATTCATTTTTATTCCAAGATTTTTTTCAGATTATCTGTTCTTTATGACTATCATCTTTGTAGATTGGAATTATGGAACTATGAACCTATTGTTCAACTCTGGGTCATGTTTGTTTATATGAAATGAATAGGGTTCCCTCAGTGTTTCCACTTATAAAAGTCCTTGGATGGTTTCAGTGATGGACCCATGTATTCTAAATTCCATTCTAAGGCTACTGATATAGCTCTTCACATCATTTCTATAGTGGCTCATGAAAAACCTAAACCCAAGCTATTATACCCCAACAATTCATTTTTAAATTAATGTTCCTGAGTAAAGCCCATAGATTCCAGTGAAATATCAACAACACATACCACAGGATTCTCCCCATGGTGAGCCACTTTTACATCACAAAGCTGTCCTGCAGGATCTAACTGCACTTCCACATAGAACATATCTGACGTGATGTAACATTCAGTACCACTGGCACTGAGATGAGAGCCCAGTCTAGCAAGAACAAATTAAAACAAAAATTAATAGAAGACACATAAATAAAGCCACCCAAAGTTAACACTAAATGAATAGTTCTGCCTACAGATAAAACTACATACCCATTCTGCCTTGCTATTGACTCCAAACGATCAGTCATTGCTGGTAAAGATGTTACTAAGGGGGGAAAAGGAAGAAAAAAAAAATCACAAAGAATGTTACAAGTAAATACTATTCGTCAGAAAGAAGCATAGAAAGCCATAAACATATTTAATAGTTCAAATGTTCATAATATGCACAAAGTTCGAAGATAAGGCTTAGCTGTAATCTACCAATAAGAGTATAGGTAGTGTCAGGCTCTGGTGGCTCACACATGTAATCCTAGCTACTCAGGAGGCTGAGATTTGAGGATTGCAGTTCAAAGCCAACCTGGGCAGGAAAATCTGTAAGACTCTTATTCTCCAATTAAACACCAGAAAACCCAAAGTGGAGCTGTGGCTCTAAGTAGTAGAGCTTTTAGCCTTGAGCAAAAAGACCTCAGGGATAGAGTCCAAGTCCTGAGTTCAAATCCCATCACCAAGAAAAAAAAAAAAAACAGTATAGGTAGGAGTAAAATAAGATCTATTGGAAAATTACTGGTCTCCTTTTCCATTACTTTTTATCTGGGCCAACATGTCTTTAAAAAAAAAAAAAAAAAAAACCCACACATTTACACTTAAGTACCAGAGGTGCATGTCTGTAATTCTAGCTACTCAGGAGACTCAGAGCCAGAGGATAATGGTTCAAAGCCCATCTGGGCAGAAAAGTCTACAAAACTCCATCTCCAAATAACTAGCAAAAAGATGAGCTGGTGCAAGTGGTTGAGTACCACCTGTGAGCAAGCTAGCCATTTGAGAGCATGAAGCACTGAGTTTAAATTCCAGGATTAGGAAAAAAAAATTATCTACTAATGCAGTGCTAGATGGTAGTGGTGCACCTATAGCTAGTCCCAATACCATTCAAGGCTGAGGCTATCTGAATGCTTGAATAAGTCATATAAATATTAAAACCAACAGTAGGAGAGTAGTTTAGAGGTAGAGTCAATGCTAGCACCCAGAGGGGGAAGATATGGCTCAAATGGTGAAGTGCTTGCCAACCAAACACAAGGACTGGGTTCAAAGCTCAGTTCCACAAAATACCACACAAAATAAACAAATAATAATAATGAAGAAAGACATTTAGAATAATACTAACACCCAAAAACAAAAAATAACAACAAAAAACACCCCACAAACATTACAGGCTAGTTAGGGGTTGACTGGTGTATGTAAAGCCCTCGATTAAATCCATAATTCCACAAGAATATAAATTAAAAAATTCTCAATGGTCAGAGCATCATTCACAACAGCCAAAAGATGGAAGCAACCCAAGTGTCAAAAGATAAATGAGTAATCAAAATATGGTATAGTCAGGACAGAGAAGGTGGCTTAGTGGTAGATTGTTTATGTAAGAGGCATGAAGCCCTGGGTTTGATTGCTCAGTACCACATAAACAGAAAAACCCAGAAGTGGTGCTGTGGCACAAGTGGCAGAGTGCTAGATAGCTTTGAGTGAAAGAAGCTCAGGGACAGAGCCCAGGCTCTGAGTTCAAGCCCCAGGACTGGCAAAAAAAATAGATAAAATAAAAATAAATTACATTTTAAAAATATATGGTATCGTCATGTAGTAAAATACCAATCTTAAAATAGAAAGAAATTAAAATGGTGCTGGTAGCTCATACCTGTAATACTAGCTACTCAGAAGGCTGGAATATGAGAATCACGGTTGCAAGCCAGCTAGGGTAGGAAAGGCCGTAAGACTCCCATTTCCAATTAATCAGCAAAAAAAGCCAGAAATAGAGTTGCAGCTCAAAGTGGTAGAGCATTAGCCTTGACCACTCGGGGAGGGTGCTCAGGCCCTGAGTTCAAGCCCCAGGACTGGTTAAAAAAAAAAAATTAAGCTGGATGTTGTAGTACATATCTATAATCCCAGCACTCAGGAGGTTAAGGCAGGTAGAGCATCTCAAGTTTAAGGGTGGCCTGGACTACACAGACCAAGAAAACAAAACAAAACAAAACAAAAAGAAACAGCTGGGTATGGTAATACACACCTGTAATCTCAGCATTCAGAAAGCTGAGGCAGGAGGAGTAGGTAGTTAAGGAAAGAGATCATTTTAAGTTCATAAATGAATGCGAGCAACAATATCTAACATAAGTAATAATCTATCTCAATTCATAGTTTTATTTTAAGTATAATACAGTTTTTAAACTGGAGGTTTCATGAAATCAGTATATTTTAAAATTTACAAACCTTTGAGAGCCTTCTGCAATGTCTCCAAACAGCTGACCAAATGTTGGTGACCTCCAGAACTCATTACAACCCTCTTCTCCTGTATCAAATGGGAAAATATTCAAAGTAAAAAAATCAACCATGTCAAAACAACATTTCAGGTGAATAGACTTATTATCTACTAGTAATATTTAAAGAAAGCCCTTAAGCTCCACATAGTCTAACAGATTCTTTTTACTCTGAGTTACAAAGGAAAAAAATTTCATATAGATGAACACAACTATATGCATACATGTAATTGGAGAAAAAGGTATTCACACATCTAACATAAGCTCATAGACAAACTGGGAATAATTAAACAGTTAAATAAAGCAGCTTAGAAGATTGTGGAATAAAGTGGTTTGCCATTTATTCTGAGAATTACACTCAAAACTTAGTAGAAATAGACTGACTCTAAGGAACAGACTATCAAGTTAAAAAAAGGACCTACTAAGGAACAACAACAAAAAAATTCAGTATAGCTTCGTTATTATATAGGACTTTCCTTTCTGCAAAACATTCTACTCTCCAGAAATGTGATCAATTTTATGGTACAAGGATAGTTTTTAATGCTTTTCCATGTCCTAAATAAGTCTCTCTCTCTTTACTTTATCCACATCATCACAAAACAAATGTGACTTATTATCTGGCTTCCCTTATACCTTGAATAAAGAAGGGATGCTCTGGGCAAGGAAAGTCAGAGCTTGGAAAATAGAAAGAAACTGTTATAAACTAATAAACAGATATTCTGACTTACATATTAGTCTAGTGAGATTTGATAATGTGCCTGCTGTTTAAAAATAAAACTCCCCCTACTTCCTTTCTTTTGTTGGTTGTGGGGCTTGAACTCTGGGCCTGGGTGCTATCCCTCAGCTCTTTAGTTCAAGGTTAGTGCTCTACTACTTGCACAGCACCACTTCTGGTTTTCTGCTGGTTAATTGGAGATGAGAGTCTCATGGACTTTCCTGCCTGTGCTGGCTTTGAACTGTGATCCTCAGATCTCAGCCTCCTGAGTAGCTGGCATTACAGGTATGAGCCACCAGTCCCTGGCTAGAAACTCTTAATGCACTAATAAAATCAGATTGTGTGTGTGTGTGTGTGTGTGTGTGTGTGTGTGTGTGTGTGTGTGTGTGTGTGTGTGTGTGTGTGTGTGTGTGTGTGTGTGTGTATGCGTGCGCGTGCACCCACACACCAGCTCTAAAATCAGATTGTGTGTGTGTGTGTGTGTGCGTGCACCCACACACCAGCTCTAAAGCTTCAACTCAGGGCCAGGGGCTGTCCCTTGGCTGTTTTGCTCAAAGCTAGCACTTCACTTCTGGCTTTTTGGTGGTTAGAAATAAGAGTATCATGAAGTTTCCTGCCTGGGATGGCTGGAAGAGGAGGTGTGGGTCAAATGGTAGAGCACCAGCTAGAAAAGAAACTCAGGGGGCTGGGAAGGTGGCTCAGTGGTAGAGCGCTTGCCTTGCATGCATGAGGCCCTGGGTTCGATTCCTCAGCACCACATAAACAAAAAGAAAAAAGCCAGAAGTGGCGGTGTGGCTCAAGTGGTAGAGCGCTAGCCTTGAGCTGAAGAGCTGAGGGACAGCGCCCAGGCCCAGAGTTCAGGCCCCACAACCGGACACTCCGCCGCCCCCCCCCCCCCCCCCCCCCGGCAAAAAAAGAAAGAAACTCGTTTTTTTTTTTTATTTCTTGGTGCTAAGGGAATAAACCCAAGGCTTCATACAAGTTAGGCAAGCATTCTACTACTGAACTATATTCACAAGATTGTAAAATACAGATATTCTGCAGGGTACCAGATCCTCACACCTAGCTTCTCAGGAGGCTAAATATAAGGATTGTCTTCCCAGGCAGAAAAATTCATGAACCTCTAATCTCTAATTAACCAGCAAAAAGCTAGAATTGAAGGCATGGCTCAAGTGTGACCTTGAGCTGAAAAAGCAGAGCAGGCCCTGAATTCAAGCCCTACTACTGGCACATACTCACACAAACCTCTGACTAGAAATATAGTTCTTTTACTAGTTTTATACAGCCATTATCATTTTATTTTTTTTTTGTGTGCTAGGCCTATGTTTGAACTCTAGGCCTGGGCCCTGTCCCTGAGTTTCTTTCCCTCAAGTCTGTTTTCTACCACTTGAGCCACAGCTCCATTCCTGACTTTTTTTAGTAGTATATTGGAGATGACAGTCTCATAGGGTTTCCTGCCCAGGCTGGTTTCAAACCACAGATCTTTGCCCCTGAGTAGTTAGGATTACAGATATGAGATACTGACACCCAAATGATATATCATTTTGAACATTAATAAATCTACTAAACTGGACTTACTCTGGAAGTACAATAAGGCAGAAGTATTTTCACTAAAGAATATAATAGAAAGCCGGGTGCTGGTGGCTCACGCCTGTAATCCTAGCTACTCAGGAGGCTGAGATCTGAGGATCGAGGTTCAAAGCCAGCCCGGGCAGGAGAGACCGTGAGACTCCTATCTCCAATAAACCACCAGAAAACCGGAAGTGGCGCTGTAGCTCAAGTGGTAGAGCGCTCGCCTTAAGCTGAAGAGCTGAGGGACAGCACCCAGGCCCAGAGTTCAAGCCCTATGACCGACCAAAAAAAAAAAGAATATAATAGAAGTGTTAAGAAGTCTTAAGTGAAACAATCACAAAGTAAATATACCACTATGAAGATAAAAATAGTTTTTTTATGTATTTTGACTATCACTTGAATCATGTGAATTAGCTTGTACTATCCAGCTCTTAAAATAATCACCACATTCCTCTTAAAAACAAAAAACAAACAAACAACAACAAAAAAAAAAACAGAATAAAAAAGAGTTTCAGGACTTTCCTGCCTAGGCTTGCTTTGAATCACAACCCTCAGATCTCAGGCTCCTGAGTAGCTAGGATTATAGGTATGAGCCACTAGTATTGGCCACAATTCATTCTCCTTCTCCTTCTTCCTTTGCCAGTCCCGAGGCTTGAACTCAAGGCCTGGGCACTGGCTAGTATGCTTCCACTTGAGCCATAGCTCCACTTCCAGCTTTTTCTGTTTATGTGGTACTGAGGAATTGAACCCAGGTCTTTCATGCATGCTAGGCAAGCAGTCTACCAATGAGCCAGATTCCCAGGTACTAAGACTCTTATCTCCAATTAACCACCAAAGAAAACCCAGAAGCTGAGCTTGGCTCAAGTGTACTACTTCAGCACAAAAAGCTCAAGGGCGACGAGCAAGCTCCAGGAATGGCGCTGGCATGGACAGGCGCACACACATGAATTCATGAATTCTAAGCTGGTAGCCAGTTGCAGCTGAGATGTGAAGATCAAGGTTCAAGGCCAACCCAGGCAAACAAATACATGAGACTCTTTTTTTGTTTTGTCAGTTGTGGGGCTTGAATTCTGGGCTTGGGCGCTGTCCCTGCACTCTTCAGCTCAAGACGAGTACACTACTGCTAGAGCTACTTGCGGTTTTCTAGTGGTTTATTGGAGATAAGAGTCTTACTGACTTTCCTGCCCAGGCTGGCTTTGAACCGAGATCCTGATTAGCTAGGATTACAGGCGTGAGCCACCAGCTCCTGGCTTTTTTTTTTTTTTTAGGTCTAAGACTGGGATTCAAACTTAGTACCTTCCAACCTCTCATGAGACTCTTATTTCCAATTAACCAAAAGGAGGAGCTAGGGGATTTAGCTAAAGTGGCAGAAAAAAAACTGAAAGAGAGCAAGATAGCCTGCTATCACATTTCAGTAACAGCAAGAATGAATCAGAAACTCCTAATAGGTATTATGTAGATAAGATAAAAGCAGAATCACATGAAAATGAAGGAGCCCGTCAGGAAGTGAAAAATAAGTCTTTACAACAACTTCTCAGTGCATCTCTCATAGATATGTTTATTGGCACTTCGCCTAAAAGTCCCAGCTCTTCATATCCTTAACATTTAACACTCTTGGATTCAAGTAACCATGGTTCAAAAATATTTTCAGGAAAAGACAGTTATGAAGTAAATATCATCAGTCTTTTTTTTTAATCATTACTCTAAACAATGCAGCATATCAAATATTCACATATCACATGGTTTTATAAGTAATTTAGAAATTATTTAAAATATACTGCAGGACATCCATATGTTAAATGCAACTATAAGCCATTTTACATAAGAGATCTGAACATCCATGCATTTGGTATTCATGAAGAATTTGAAAATCAATCCTACATGAACACTGAAGAACAAATGTATACATCCTTTCTAGGAAGACCCTTGAAATTGATAGCCACTATGTATGCAGGTGTTTTGTGATAAATGAAACTGAAGAGACACTATTATAGTTAAGCCCACATGAGCAGCTTAGCTTATTGAATAATTAAACACATTTTACCCACTTCACCATAATCCTCACCATGACTTGACGCACAAGCTTAATAGTTTCACTCCAAGGTCTATTTTGGTTAAATTTTGCATGGAGCCGTTCCAAAAGGGAACTCATCTTACTCAGCTTTTCCGACTCTAAAATATAAATCAGAAAACATAATTAGAAACCCTTTTAGTTCAAGACCTTTCACATGTGGGTATCAGTACTTTATTTCTTTATGTTGTTGCATAGAATACAATGTTTATTCTTTCACAGGTATTTGGATTATTTTTCAATTTTTGATTATTAATAAAGCTACCATAAAATGTACTTGCAAAATGTCCATTGTTTGGGCAACAGTGACTGGTCCAAAGCCAGTCTAAACAGAAAAGTTCATGAGATTCTTATCTCCATAAGACTCCTTTTTTTGGTCAGTCGTGGGGCTTGAACTATGGGTCTGGGTGCTGTCCCTGAGCTCTTCAGCTCAAGGTGAGCACTCTACACTTGATCTACAGCACCACTTTGGGTTTTCTGGGTTAATTGTAGATAAAGAGTCTCATGGACTTTCTGGCCTTGGCTGGCTTTGAACCATGATCCTCAGATCTCAGCCTCCTTAGTAGCTAGGATTACAGGCATGAGCCACTGGCACCCGGCTCCATGAGATTCTTAATCAGCAAAAAGCAAGATGTGGTGTTATGGCTCAAGTGGTAGAGTGCCAGCATTGTGTGAAATAGTTAAGGGAGAGCTCCCTGGCCCTAAGTTTGAGCCCCAGGCGTGGCACACAAAAAGATGAATAATAACAATATTTATGATACGTAATAAACAGAAAGTATTTAAATGTCCAATAATAATGGCTTGGTTAAGCCAGTGCTAACATCATACAAATAAGCTATATAATCATTCAATGTGTGTTTCCAACAGATGTTTGTGAAATGCAAAATATTTATAAGGTAAAGGGAGGAAGTTATCTGCTAAATTGTGTTATTATCTATTAAAGATATGCATATACATTTTAAGTAAATATGAATAATATAGAATATTAATAATATCAATAGTACATAATTTTTTCCTGCAAAAGAAAATTTTAAACTTCCATCATTCAGTTAAAATATTTTCCTTATATTTTTACTTCAAAGCAAACAAAGAAAGCCAAGCTAGGCATGGTGATACATACCTATGATCTCAGAAACTGGGAGGCTAAGGCAGGAGGGTTCTGAGTTCAAGGCCAGTGTGGGCTTTGGAACAAATTCAAGGACAGCCTAGGCTACACAAGGGAGAACCTGCCTCTAAACAAAACTCCTACTTTAGAAAAAATATCTGGCGGGGCACTGGTAGCTTATGCCTGTAATCCTAGCTTCTCAGGAGGCTATGATCTGAGGATTGTGGTTCAAAGCCAGTCTGGGCAGCAAAGTCCGTGAGACGCCTTTTCTTTTTTATTTTTTGGGGGGGGGAGAGGGTAAGTCATGGGTCTTGAACTCTGGGCCTGGATGCTGTCACTGAGCTCTTCAGCTCAAGGCCAGTGTTCTACCACTTGAATCACAGCCACACTTCCAGTTTGCTGGTGGTTAATTGGAGTCTCACAGGAGGTTCCTACCCCGGCTACTACGAACCATGATACTCTGATCTCAACCTCCTGAGTGGCTAGTATTATAGGCTCTTATTTCTAATTAACCACCAGAAAACTGGAAGTGGTGCTGTAGCTCAAAGTGGTAGAGCACTAGCCTTGAGCTAAAGAGCTCAGGAACAGTGCCCAGGTCCAGAGTTCAAGCCCCACGGACTGACCAAAAAAAAAAATCTGCATAAGAATATTTTTAAGAATATTATTTTTGTACTTTATTTGTCTAAGACACAGGGTATTGGCTTTGTTGCCCAAGCTGGCCTTCAACTCCTGAGCTCCAGTAATCCTCCAATCCTACTGCCTCAGCCACGTGGGTAGTTGGGATTAGGTTTACACTACCAAATCAAGAATGTATGTGGGGAAGTGGCGCTGTGGCTCAAATGGTAGAGCACTAGCCTTGAGCTGAGGAGCGTAAGGACAGAGCCAGGCCAGAGTTGAAGCCCCACGACCGACCAAAAAAAAAAGAAAAATGTATGTGTATGTGTTATTCATATGTATATATACATATACACATATATACATACACATACACACATGCATGTTTTGCTGTTATTTTGCTGGTTCCAGGGTTTGAATTCAAAGTTTGCTCAGCTTGATTGCTTGTCTGACCCTCTACCACTTGAGTCATGCCTCAAGTTATCTTTTTGCTGGTCATTTTGAAGATGAGGTCCTGGACTTTTCTTTTCTTTTCTTTGGTCAGTCGTGGGGCTTGAACTCTGGGCTTGGGTGCTGTCCTTGCACTCTTCAGCTCAAGGCGAGCACTCTACCGCTTGAGCCACAGAGCCATATCTGGTTTTCTAGTGGTTTATTGGAGATAAGCGTCTCACGGATTTTTCCTGCCCAGGCTGGCTTTGAACCAAGATTCTCAGATCTCAGCCTCCTGAGTAGCTAGAATTACAGGTATGAGCCACTGGCGCCCAGCCCTATGGACTTTTCTATTGTAGCTGGCCTCAAACCAGTATCCCCTGGATCTCAGTCCCAAGTACGTAGGATTATAGGTGTGTGCCACCTATAAAATTTGTTTGTTTTTGTTCTTTGAATTCTAGAGATCAGGCTTGCCTCAAATTTATGATCCTCTTGCTTCAGCCTCCTGAATACAGAGATTATAGATATCAGCCACCACACCAGGCTTAAAAGATATTTTTGCTGACAAGAATGAAAGTTACAGAAATATACTGGAACAGTATTGCTTTCTATTCAAACATTTAATAGGGACAATAACAAAAAGTTTCTAATTATATTAATATACATGAAATCCTCTGCATGATATATTTTAAGCACACATTTTAACACACCTTTACTATACTTGGCTTTTGTTTGTTTTTGAGACAAAGTCTCAGTATATATCCCAGACTGGCCTGTAACTCTCCATTCTGATACTCTCAAGGGTTCTACCACACCTGCCTTAGTATGATTTAGTTTTCAATGTGAAAATACTCACTTTCTTACCTTTTTTTTGGGGGGGGGTCCGGTCATGGGGCCTGAACTCTAGGCCTGGGCGCTGTCCCTCAGCTCTTCAGCTCAAGGCTAGTGCTCTACCACTTGAGCCACAGCACCATTTCCGGCTTTTTTTCTTTTTGCTTTATGTGGTGCTGAGGAATCGAACTCAGGGCCTTAGGCATGCAAGGCAAGTGCTCTACCATTACTGAGCCACCTTTCCAGCCCTTTCATACTTTTTTGTCATAATCTTATGAGATCAATGTATAGGCACTTTAAAGAAAACAAGTTTAGCCAGTATGGGAATACCTACCTCAATTCTGGTACTTAAATGACTAAGCCTGAAAGATAAGAGTTCCAGGTTGGGGGCTGGGAAGGCAGCTCAGTGGTACAATGCTTGCCTTGCATATATGAGGCCCTGGGTTCTACGCCTCAGCACCACATAAGCAGAAAAAGTTGGAAGTGGTGCTGTGGCTCAAGTGGTAGAGGGCTAGCCTTGAGCTGAAGAGTTGAGGGACAGTGCCCAGGCCCAGAGTTCAGGCTCTGTAATGACAAAAAAAAAAAAAAGTTCCAGGCTAGTCTGGGCTATATAATGAGTTCAAGGCCAGCCTCAACTACTCAGCAAAACTTATCTCAAACAAAGGGAGGTAGGGAAGAAACAGTCTATTTGTAGTTCACTTTTTTCTATCTGAATTTCACTAAATACACTGAGAGAAAAAGAGATCAATAACCAAAGAATTCGTTTCCTTCAAAGAAAGATAGAAAAGACTAGATCCTGTATTAAGATGTGAATGTACCACCCACCTTCAAACCTCCTCCAATTTTGAACAGCCTACTATGAGCAGACTCATTCTACAGACCACTGAAGATGAACAAATATGCATTATATATCTGTGGCAAAGTATGCTAAGTTAATGTGGAGATAACTATCAACAATCAACAATAAATAAGAATATATTTTTTGGTACTAGAGCTCCAATTCAGAGCCTTGTGCTCTTGCCCAGCTTTTTCAGTCATAGCTGGCATTCTACCACTAAGTCACACCTCTAGGTCCATAAGAAATGTTCTCAAGAGGAGAGAGATAACCAGACAGAGGTGGCTCATGCCTGTGATCCTAGCTACTCAGAAGTCTAAAAACTGGAGGCAGAAGTTCAAAGCCAGCCCAGGCAGAAAAGTCTTGAGACTCCACTTTCAATTAACCAGCAAAATGCTGAGCTGAGGTATAATTCAAGTGTAAAGTGCCAGTGTGAGAAAGAAAGCAGAGAAAGAGGCCCTGAATTCAAAACCTGGTATAGGTACCAAAAGAGAGAGAGAGAAAAGAGACAGACACAGGCAGAGAACAGAAGGGACATTATTAGTAAATATAAAAGGATGAAAAGTTCACAATTGTGGGGAGGGGCTGGGAAGGTGGCTCAGTGGTAGAGCGCTTGCCTTGCATGCATGAGGCCCTGGGTTCGATTCCTCAGCACCACATAAGCAAAAAGAAAAAAAAAATGCCGGAAGTGGCACTGTGGCTCAAGTGGTAGAGTGCTAGCCTTGAAAAGCTGAGGGACAGCGCCCAGGCCCAGAGTTCAGGCCCCAAACAAACAAACAAATTGTGGGGAGAATACATAAAGAGACAGGTGATGCTGGCATTGCAAGATGAGTAGGTCAGTTGATCAGAGTTGTAGTAGTCATGAAAAAAACACCCTAAGACAAGATTCTATAGCTCTCTTATTGCCCTCATATTTTTTTTTTTTTTGTCTGTCGTGGGGCTTGAACTCTGGGCCTGAGCGCTGTCCCTCAGCTCTTCAGCTCAAGGCTAGTGCTCTACCACTTGAACTACAGAGCCACTTCCTGTTTTCTGGTGGTTTATTGGAGATAAGAGTTTCACGGACTTTCCTGAACAGGCTGGCTTTGAACCTCGATTCTCAGCTCTCAGCCTCCTGAGTAGCTAGGATTACAAGCGTGATCCACCGGAGCCCAGCTGCCCTCATCTTTAAAAAAAAAAAAAGGATTGGGACCTATTTCAGCCAGCTTATCCAGTTTGGAACATATTTCTATTCATACTTCAAAGCCATTCAATTATAAGTATATGAGTAAACTGCAGACATGGAACTTTACCTGCTTAAAATCTGAATATCAAGGGGCTGGGAAGGTGCTTGTCTTGCATGCATGAGGCCCTGGGTTCAATTCCTCAGCATCACATAAGCAGAAGAAAAAAAAAGCTGGAAGTAGCATTGTGGCTCAAGTGGTAGAGCACTGGCCTTGAGCTGAAGAACTGAGGGACAGTACCAGGCCCACAGTTCAGGCCCCACCACTGACCAAAAATAAATAAGTAAATAAAATTGAATACCAAGTGACAAAATCTCCTGACTCACAAGATTTCCCCTTTTCAGTTGTCACCAATTTTGCACCCAAGGAATTCATTTCTTTTATCTTTTTCTTCAGAATGTACTTTTTTTTTTTAGCTTGTTGATATCTTTACTTTGATGTTCTAATCAAACATTTTTGAGCAACTACTATGTTCCTGAAACTATATACAGATAAACAAGGCAGGTCTAAAGCTCAGAGTAAACTAAGAAATGTAAGTAAAGAACAGCAATAAAGCCAGGCACCAGTGGTGGCACACGCCTGTAATCCTAGCTAGTCAGGAGGCTGAGATCTGAGAATCTCGGTTCAAAGCCAGCGGGGCTTATCTCCAATTAACCACCAGAAAACCGGAAGTGGCGCTGTGGCTAAATGTGTTAGAGTGCTAGCCTTGAACTGAAGATCTGAGGGGCAGTGCCCAAGCCCAGAGTTCAAGCCCTACGACCGACCCCCCCCCCCAAAAAAAAAGTACAGTACAGGATTCTAAGCACTATGACATTCTAGGGCCCAGGTACCTTTTAATATCAAAAAGGCCCAAATCGTTTCATTCATGTCAAAACACCATCCAGTACTTTTAAAGATTGTTCTGTATAGTTTTTTGTTTTGTTTTGTTTTTTGCTGGTCGTGGGATCTGAGGAATCGAACTGAGGAATCGGCCTGAGGAACGTGGTGCTGAGGAATCGAACCCAGGGCCTCATGCATGCAAGGCAAGCACTCTACCACTGAGCCACCTTCCCAGCCCGTGTGTTATTGTTTTTACATCATCATTCAGATATCTCTTCTGGAACAAAACGTAATTAGGTTTTTTTATTCACTCGCCATGCCTCCCACCACTTTAGGCTAAGAGTGTCCTGAGCCCAATTAAAGATTCCTAAGTTGTACAACGAACCTTCACAGAAGTTGGAAGGCCCCGTCCATCACCTTAGAGTCGGACCTCTGCCATCACCAAGCAAGGCACTATTAGAATCTAAAACACATTCTGCCTCTTGGAGGACTCTGCTCTCAGAAAGTGGCCCTCCCTAGGCCAGCGCCTCCACCCCTTTTACAGACAGGTTATCCCCAATTGTGTCCCATCCCTTTTTCCCCCCTTGAAGTCACTCACCCTCAGTTTCCCCCTGAGCCTTCATCCTGACAGCAGCGAAGGCCTATGTCCGCCACGAGAGGACAAACCTTTCACCGCCACCAGCAGAGGAACCAAGAGGGACTGAGTTCTCGGGATGCAGGGCATTAGCAGCCCCCACGCTTCCCAAGAAGGCTCAGTCTGAAGTCCCGGGCGGCAAGAAGAGAAGGGTGCTCGAGGCCGCCGCCATCTTCCCCAACGGAACTTCCCAGAGATCGCGAGACTTAGCGCGATCCAGCGAGACCAAGGAAGACGCAAAGTACCCAAAATCTCGCGAAAACTGGCTGAGGCGGAGTTATCGCGAGGCTTCTTTTAACCCGCCTGCCTTCCTTACTGGTGCTTTAGGATTCCGTCCCTGGGTACTGAAGTTTCAAGCAGGCAGAGTTCCGTGTTCGCCGAAACCGGAATTTTCTTTTCTTTTTTCCTTTATGTGTGCTGGTACCGGGACTTGAACACAAGGACCTAGGCGCTGTCCCTAGCTTTTGTGCTCAAATCTGGCGCTCTACTACTGGAGCCACGGCTCCACTTCCAGCTGTTTTTGATAGCTTAGTGGAGGTGAGAGGCTCACGGACTTTGCTGCCTAGGCTGGTTTCAAACCACAGTTCTCAGATATCAGCCTCCTGAATAACTAGGATTACAGGAGTAAGCCACCGGAGCCCTGGTAATTTTCATTTTGACAGTTAAACATTTTGCAAATTAAAAATCTTTCGTGGCTGGAATATGGCGTAGTGGTAGAGTACTTGCCTAGTATGTATGAAGCCCTGGGTTCGATTCTTCAGGACCACATAAATAAAAAAGCTGGAAGTGGTGCCGTGGCTCAGTGGTAGAGTGCTGGCCTTGAGCAAAAGAAGCTCTAGAACAGTGCCCAGGCTCTGAGTTCAAACCCCAGGACTGACCAAACAATTAAAAAAAAAAATCTGTCTCTTGCTGGGGACAGGCGGCTCACTCCTAATTCCTAACCACTTAGGAGGCTCAGATGTGAACATTGAGATCCAAAAACCAGTCAGGGCAAACAAATCCAAGACTCATCTCCAATTAACCAGATAAATACACGAAAGTGAAGGTGTGTAGCTCAAGTGGTAGAGTGCCATTTGTGAACAAGAAAAGCTAAACATGCTAGGTGCTGGTGGCTCACACCTGCAGTTTGAAGGCAGGTCAGGCAGAAATAGTCCCAAACACTTACCTCCAATTAAACACACTTACCTCCAATTAAACACACACACCCCAAATCAAAACAGAAAACAAGCCAGGAGTGGTGGCTTATACTAGTGATCCTAGTAACTCTGGAGGCTGAGATCTGTGGGTTGTTTTTCAAAGCCAGCCTAGGCAGGAAAGTCTGTGAGACTCATCTCTGATGAACTACCAAAAAAGCCAGAAATGGAGCTATGGCTCCAGCGGTAGATTGCTAACTTTGAGCAAAAAAAAAAAAATCTCAGGGACAGCATTCAGGCCCTGGCACCTCAGGACTGGCACCAAAAAAGAAAAACAAAGAAAAAAAACTCATGAATGGAGGTGTGACTCAAGTGGTAGAGTGCTAGCTTTGAATGAAAAACTAACAAGCTGTGCCCACACCCTGAATTCAAGCCCCAATAATGGCACACACTAAGAAGCTGTGTATGGGAGAGGAAGGGAGAGTGTTTAAGGGCTTTCTGCCAGGGCTGGATTAGAACCAGGATTCTCATATCTCAGGGTTTTTTTTTCCTTCTTTTTCTCTTTTGCCAATCTTGGTGCTTGAACTCAGAGCCTGGGAACTGTCCCTGTACCATTTTTTTTTTTTGGTCTGGTCGTGGGGCCTGAACTCTGGGCCTGGGCACTGTCCCTCAGCTCTTCACCTCAAGGCTAGCACTCTACCACTTGAGCCACCGCACCACTGCCGGCTTTTTTTTTTTCTGCTTATGTGGTGCTGAGGAATCAAACCCAGGGCCTCATGCATGCAAGGCAAGCGCTCTACCACTGAGCCAACTTCCCAGCCCTAGCACTGTACCACTTGAACCACAGTGTCCCTTCCTGCTTTTTCTGTTTATGTGGTACTAAGGAATCGAACCCAGAGCTTCATGCATACTAAGCAAGCACTCTACCAATAAGCCACATTCCCAGCCCCAACATCTCAGCTTCTTAAGTAGCTAGGCTTACTGGCATGAGCCATCGGCCCCCCAGCTATGTGTAGAATTTTGAAAAGTAAAAATGAGAGGCTAAATTGGGCGCCGGTGGCTCACTCCTGTAATCTTAGCTACTCAGAGCACTGAGATCTGATTATTATCAGTTTGAAGCTAGCCAGGGCAAAAAAATCCCCTTAAGACACATCTTCAATTAACCACTCAAAAGCCAGGAGTGGAGTTGTGGCTCAAAGTTGTAGAGCCCTAGCCTGGCCCAAAGAACTCAGGGACCAGGCTTAGGTCCTGAGTTCAAGGGAAACGGGAGGCCATTAGCAACTTAGAATTCTAGTTCATGATTGGAATGCATGAGGATGAAAGATAATCATCCTGAGAGCCATGGGACCATTTCAAAGGCTGTTAAGTGTAGATAGACGGTTAGATTTGAAAAGTGGAGGTAGTGCCACACAACGGAAGAGCTCTTTTAACATTAGACAGACATGAGTTTGAGCCAAGTGCTGTGGCACTTGTAGTTCTAGCTTGATTACCTGAAACTATTTAACGCCCCTGAGTCTGGGATCCTGACTTGTAAAATAGAGGTAGGAATTAAGTTGCAGGATATTTGTGAGGGTTATATAGAAAACATACTTAAAATGCCAAGTATCATGTAGGTGAAAAACAGTTTAAAATTCAGGTACTTAAATTGAAATGTCTCCACATACGTCCTTGTGCGTTAGTAAAAATATTAATATATTGCTAGTTAAGCGACTATTGCTATAAACTACCTATAAGGAATTTTCACTGGAGCCTAGGAGTTTGGTTCCATGAGTTTAGGTTTTTAAGAGACAAGTTTTGCCAGGTCTGTTTTAATAAAGCTCTTCAGACACAGGGGAGGGAGTTAGAGGCGTAAACATATCGCGAGAGCCTAACGGGATGCGTTTGTTGCGCGGATCCTGTTCTCGCGTCGTTTCATTAAGTGGTGGGCAGAGGTGAAAGGGAAGCACAGAAGCATCGCGAGATCCCATCGGACTCTCGCGATATTTTCTGAGCTTGCCCCTCCCCCCTTCCTTCAAGTGCCGTTTCGGTTTAAGCTAGTGTGTGACTGAGTCTGTGTGAGGGAGCGAGTGTGTGTTTGTGTGTGAGGTCCTGAGGTGAGGTGGAGACCAGAAAAGAGGCTCCTTCAGGAGCGAGGGGCGAAGGGAGAGTGAAGGATCTAGGCTGCGGGACCCGGCGACAGGAAGCTGCCCCCAGCCGGGCTACCGGGTAGGGGAAGGGCCGGCGCAGTCCTCACAGGGCCCCAGAGCCGAGTCGGCCTCACAGCCACGGGCCGTCGGCTTCCTACTTCCTCGACCTCCCCGGTGCCCGGGCCTGAGGATTAGCTCGGCGGAGGGGTGGGGGGGACAGACTCGAGCAGCCGCCCGTGGTTTCCAAACTCCACCGCTGAGGAACTGTTCATTCCTTCCCTCGCTCCTTCGCGGGTTTCTCCCCCCACCCCCCCATGTAGGAGGGTGCTGAGGAGTAGGGAGGGGAGGAGGAGCCTGGCCTACTGTCCGCCCTTTCCCTTCCCACCCCCTTTAGGGGCGCTTTGGTGGGCGTGGAGTTGGAGTTGGGGGGAGGGTGGGGGTTACTTTTGGGAGTGCTGGGGAACTTTTCCCCCTTTTTCAGGCCAGGGGAAAGGGAATGCCCAATTCAGAGAGACATGGGGGCAAGAAGGACGGGAGTGGAGGAGCTTCTGGAACTTTGCAGCCGTCTTCCGGAGGTGGCAGCTCCAACAGCAGAGAGCGTCACCGTTTGGGGTCGAAGCACAAGCGGCATAAGTCCAAGCACTCCAAAGACATGGGGTTGGTGACCCCCGAAGCAGCATCCTTGGGTACAATTATCAAACCTTTGGTGGAGTACGATGATATCAGCTCTGATTCCGACACCTTTTCTGATGACTTGGCCTTCAAATTAGATCGAAGGGAGAACGATGAACGTCGTGGAACGGATCGGAGTGATCGCCTGCACAAACATCGTCATCACCAGCACCGGCGTTCCCGGGACTTACTAAAAACTAAACAGACCGAAAAAGAAAGAAACCAGGAAGTCTCCAGCAAGTCAGGATCGATGAAGGACCGGATATCAGGGAGTTCCAAGCGCTTAAACGAGGAGAATGATGACTATGGGAAGGCACAGGTAGCCAAAAGCAGCAGTAAGGAATCCAGGTCATCCAAACTTCATAAGGAGAAGACGCGGAAAGAACGCGAGTTGAAGTCTGGACACAAAGACCGGAGTAAAAGTCATCGGAAAAGAGAAACACCCAAAAGTTACAAAACAGTGGATAGTCCCAAGCGCAGATCCAGGAGTCCCCACAGGAAATGGTCTGACAGCTCCAAACAAGATGACAGCCCCTCAGGAGCTTCTTATGGCCAAGACTACGACCTTAGTCCCCCGAGATCTCACACCTCGAGCAATTATGATTCCTACAAGAAGAGTCCTGGAAGTACCTCAAGAAGGCAGTCTGTAAGCCCGCCTTACAAAGAGCCTTCTGCCTACCAGTCCAGCGCCCGCTCACCCAGTCCCTACAGCAGGAGACAGAGGTCTGTGAGTCCCTACAGCCGTAGACGGTCATCCAGCTATGAAAGGAGTGGCTCTTACAGTGGAAGGTCCCCCAGCCCCTACGGGCGAAGAAGATCTAGCAGCCCTTTCTTAAGCAAGCGATCTCTGAGTCGGAGTCCACTTCCCAGGTGAGCTGTTTGATTACCAGTCCTCTGTAAGATGGGGGTGGGGGTATATAACAACTGGCAACTTGTCATGACATTTTGCAGTAGCCACCAGAGGTCATGTTAGTTTGGCCATTGATGAGGTGAGATAACAGATTCACTTAAGTATGTGAATTTGGTCTCCCCTTAATCCAGAGTTTAAGAACTAAACATTGCGGGGAGCTGGTGGCTCACGCCTGTAATCCTAGCTACTCTGGAGGCTGAGTTCTGAGGATTGCGGTTTGAAGCCAGCTGGGGCAAGAAAGTCCGAGAGACTCTTATCTCCAAGTAACCACCAGAAAACCAGAAGTGGCACTGTAGCTCAAGTGGTAGAGAGCTCATCTTGCTGAAGAGCTAAGGGATAGCACCCAGGTGCAGAGTTCAAGCCCCATGACCTCAAAAAAAAAAAAAAAAAGGAACATTTCACATGGCTCAGTCTTCTAAAGGTAGGTACTTCCCAATAGTGGGAAGCTGCTGGGAAGTTGTAAGCTTCAAAGTCTAGGCAGAATTCTGCCTAATGAATGGCATAGTGTTGTTACTCATTTCCCTGCTTAGTCTTAAATATTAAAAAACCACCTTGGTATCAGTGCTTAAACTTTATAGGAAATGACTGGAGACGAAAAGTTATGAATTTTCACTTGTGTTATTTTGAGGCCATTTGCCTAGGTCATCTTACCAGTCGTGCTGTCTACCGAATCTCCAAACCTGTAAGTTTATTCATTGTCTAATTGTCATTGTTTTAATTAACAGAATGGTCCTCTTTTAACTAATGTTTTAGTGGAAATCCAGCTAGTTAGGTCATTTTGTTTTTGATATTATATAGCTTGGTAGAAACTGGTTCCAAGGACAGTTTAGTTTTTAGCAGCACCATTGATTGACCTTTCTTATGACCATTGGCAATTTTCAAAATTTCCTAAAAATGTGATGATAGTGTCTTTTTTTTTTGAGAGAGTCATATTGGGTTGAAATTTCAGTTTTAGTGTAAATTATCTGTGGAAAATTGTATTCTTGTTTCTAGGTAATGTGATGTACCTCCTTTGTGGACTCATCTCTGCTCACAGAGCAGATGAGGAGCTATAGTCAGATCTGAGTGGAATCTTAGTATTTCTTTGTGACCTTTGGCAAATAATTTAATTTCTCCATGCCTGAGTTTCTTCATGTGTAAAATGAAAATAATAACTACCTACTTCTAGGTTTGTATTGAGAATTATATTAATGTGAAGTGTATAGTACCTTTCCTTAGCAAATTCTATGTATTTAACACTGGTAGAGAATTACACTACTTTAAAAAAAAAACCTTGCTTGTGTTTTATATGTCAGTGTATTTTTTGCTGACATTGTTAATAATTATTTTTTAAAAACTCATGAATTTAGCCGGGCGCCAGCTACTCAGGAGGCTGAGATCTGAGGATCGTGGTTCAAAGCCAGCCCAGGCAGGAAAGTCCATGAGACTCTTATCTCCAATAAAATCACTAGAAAACTGTAAGTGGCGCTGTGGTTCAAGCGGTAGAGCGCTCGCCTTGAGTTGAAGAGCACAGGGACAGCACCCAGGCCCAGAGTTCAAGCCCTACGACTGACAAAAACAAACAAACAAACAAAAAACCTGAATTTATCAAACTAAAGAGTTCCTGTCAAGGGCTGAAAGTTCTTAGTATTTTCTCCCCATTTTAGTATAAAGATTGCCAAGTAGGTTGAAAGATTTACGATAAACACCTGTATATCTAACAAGTAGATTTTGTAGTTAATATTCATTTATTTATTTTTGCCAGTCTTGGGGCTTTAATTCAGGACTTGGGTACTGTCCCTGAGCTTATTTTTGCTCAGAGCTAGTACTCTAGCACTTGAACCACAGCGCCACTTCCAGCTTTTTCTGTTTATGTGGTACTGAGGACTCGAACTCAGGGCTTCATGCATGCTAGGCAAGCACTCTACCACTAAGCCACATTCCCAGCCCTAAAAAGAATTTAATTTTTGTTATAAAGGTGATGTACAGAGGGGTTATAGTTAAATAAATCAGGTGAAAAGTACGTTTCTTTTTGGATAGTGTTACCCCTTCCTTCCTTCTATAGTTAATATTTGCCATATATTTGGTTACCTGTCTAGTCATCTCCCTACCAATCTTTTTTTTTTTTTTTTTTTTTTTGGGTCCGGTCGTGGGGCCTGAACTCTGGGCCTGGGCGCTGTCCCTCAGCTCTTCAGCTCAAGGCTAGCACTCTACCACTTGAGCCACAGCGCCACTTCCGGCTTTTTTTTTTTGCTTATGTGGTGCTGAGGAATCGAACCCAGGGTCTCAGGCATGCAAGGCAAGCGCTCTACCACTGAGCCACCTTCCCAGCCCCCCTACCAATCTTTTTGTTTAACCTCAAAGTTGCAGGTATCAGTATACTTTCCTCTGAACACTTTAGCATGTATACCATTTCCTAGAGTTCAGTATTTTTTTTTTTTTTTGGTAGATTAGTAGTAAGATTTATACATACTGAAATCCATACTGAAATATATAAGTTGTAAATATACTACTTACAAAGTTACATAGTTTTGAAAGGAAGCCTAAGAAGTATTTTCAGAACATTTGTTTTCTTTTTCTTTGAGAACTTCACTATATAACTCAGATAGGCCTTGAATTCATGATCCTCCTGCCTCAGTATCCTAAGTGCTGAGATTACAGGCATATGTTACCTTGCTCAAGTAGAATATTTTATTTTCTCCAGAAACTAACATTAAGGCTATCTGAAGAACTTTTGCTGTTACACAGAGTTTAGAAATATAGAAGCCAAAACACTAAAACAAACTACAGTAAGAACTGGTTTTTGCAATGATTCTTTTTAGATTAGTAGCTAAAATGTCCTATATCAAGTTCTCAAGTAAATTGAAGAATCTCTGTTCACTACTTGAAACTAGTCCATTAATGGGAAAATAAATCTAGGAAGAATTGGTAATGTAATTTGATAGTAGAGAATGCAAATAAAAAGATATGATACTGCACATTTTCTGTTCGTAGAGAGTATTATGTGTGTATATATTACATATTTTCTTCATATCCATTCTCAATAGTAAGTATAAAAACTTTACAGAAAACTGAATATATAATCTTAGCTATTTAGGAGGTTGAGATCTTAGGATCTCAGTTTGAAGCCATCCTGGGCAGACAAACCCTCAAGATTCTTTTTTTTTTTGGTCAGTCGTGGGGCATGAACTCTGGGCCTGGGCACTGACCCTCCGCTCTTCAGCTCAAGGCTAGTGCTCTATCTCTTGAGCCACAGCACCACTTCTGGCTTTTTCTACTTATATGGCCTAATGTATGCAAGGCAAGCACTCTACTACGCCACCTTCCCAGCCGCTCCCCCCCCCCCAAGATTCTTACGTATAATTAACCTTCAAATAGCTACTACTTGAGGCATGGTAGCTACCACTTGAGGCATGGCTCAAGTGGTATATGTACTAGCCATGAGCAGAAAAAGCTGATCAGGAACTTGAGAACTGACTTCAAGCCCCAGTACTGGTAGGGGAAAGAAAAATAAAGTTGGGCATAGTATACATCCTGTAATCTCAGCATTTAGGAAGCACATGCAGGAAGATTCAAGTTCATATCAACTCTGGGCTGTATAGTGAGCTTCAGGCCAGACCGAACAACATAGCATAGACCTGTCTCAAAAAACAATACAAGGGCTGGGAAGGTGGCTCAGTGGTAGAGCGCTTGCCTTGCATGCATGAAGTCCTGGGTTCAATTCCTCAGCACCACATAGGCAAGAAGAAAAAAGCCGGAAGTGGTGCTGTGGCTCAAATGGTAGAGTGCTAGCCTTGAGCTGAAGAGCTGAGGGACAGCGCCCAGGCCCAGAGTTCAGGCTCCACGACCGGATCCCCACCCCCACCCCCCCCCCCCAAAAAAAAAAAATACAAAAAAAGTAATTCTTTTGCACAGAAGATGGGAAGAAAAAAAATTGTTTTTGTACCAGGCCTGGGGTTTGAACTTAGGGCCTAGGAACTGTTCCTTGAGCATATTTTGCTCAAGGCTAGCACGCTACCACTTGATTTACAGCTTCACTTTTTGCTGGGTAATTGGAGATATGAGTCTCATGGACTTTGTTACCCTAGCTGGCTTTGAACCGTGATCTTTAGATCTCAGCCTCCTGAGTAACTAGTATTACAGGTGTTAGCCACTGGTGCCATTGCAGCAAATATATGCATATATCTTTTAAGTTTTTTTTTTAATAAAGTAGAAAAACTAAAGTATTTTTCCCCTTTGGGTTACCAGAATGAAACATTTTAAAACATTGGAAGTAAGTTGAGTGCTACTTGCCCATGTCTATTTGTGAGGTTATGATTAGGAGGGCTATTATTCCAGGCCAGCTAAGGTAGAAAAGTTTGTAAGACCTCTTTTCATCAATAGGCATTCAGGTGGTATTTGCCAGTCAGTCACCCTAAATGCTTTGGAGGCTGCATTTGAGGATGATAGAGGTTCTAGGCCAGCTGGGACAGAGAAGGCCAAGTGATAGTGCTTGCCTGTCATCCCAGCTAATGTAAGAAGGGAAAAATAGGAGAATTGAGGTGCAGGTACATCCAGGCAGGAAGAAAGATCCTATCTCATGAAATAACTATCTGCAAAAAAAAAAAGAAGTGGAGACATAGTTGAACAGTAAAGCTCTTGCCAAACAAGCGTTAAGCCCTGTATTCAAATCCTAGTACTACCTAAAAAGAAAAAAAGTTGGGTGCTAGTGCTCATATCTATAACCTAAGAGACTCCAAAGATCTGAGGATCAGGGTTGGAAGTCAGCCCTTCAGATAAATCCTAGAGTCTCTTTGTCTCCAGTGGTTACCAGCAAAAAGCCTAAACTGGAGGGTAGCTTCAGCAGTAGAGAGCCAAGAAAGTGCAAGGGAAGAAATGAGGTATCTAGCTGGACACCAGTAGCTCATGCCTGTAATCCTAGCTACTCCAGAGACTGAGCTGAGGATCACAGTTTGAAGCCAACCTAGGCAGAAAAGTTCGT